CTACTCTAGAGACAAATTTATTACCATACTCAGATGTCCCCGTGCTTCTATTAGTCACTGTGCGTCTGCATTTACATCACTCTGAGGGTTTTATAATCACACTTTATACTGAAGTGACTCGACAACAACAAGTTGAAATGTACATCACAATAAGTACTGATGTGCACTCTCCACTCTCCTGTTCAGTAGTTGTCTCCTACAGGTTAGTCTCCCCATCCTAAATACGAGATTGAAAACACATTTTACACACTACACTAATACGCAGTCATCATCTGCCAACGAGCTCAGAGGAGATAAAACAGAATTGGGATCAGATGAAGTGTATATCTGTGTGATTAAACGGTTGCATGTGTAGAGCCTGTAGACAACCACACCTCTCCCCACTGACTGATCTCTTGTAGGGGCCTGCGGATCAATGAGGCTGTCGATACCTGAGTGCATTATTACATGATCGGATGTGCGCGGCACAAGTGTGGCATCAAACCGTCAGTTAAGCGGTGAGTAAAATCAAGAAGTTTGTCTTTCTTTTTCAGTCGATATCAGTAGGCAGGAGTTGCATGGGAAAAATGTGCCTTGTTGGTTTAAAAAAGGGCCACACTGGAGTCTTCTTAGTATAATAGAATATTAGATTTGACATACAGGCATGATTCCTCATAAGAACTTCATGGATATTTCTAATGATTGACGGGATTTTCCCCTTCCTTAGCTGCACCCATTTGTCTCTCCAGAACTGATTTTATATTATTTGTTATTGTGCATAACAACGTGTCGGTCTGCATGAATCCAGTCAGTATGGAAACCTGCAGTGGAGCAATCTATAGTTATAACAACAGGACACAGAGGGGTCACACACTCCAAAGGCGACACTGTAATTTACAGTAGCATAGACTTACAGAGCAGGGCTGATACGAGCCCCGTCTGCGTGCGAGTGGGAGAGGAAGCACATAAAAAATTCATTAGAAGATGGAAGGAGATGTCACATCGAATATGTAGCCAGCTGCGATGATGACCACGGGTAGTGAGCTGTGTGAGCTCGGTGAGGTAGTTGTGAACCGGCACTGCAGACCTGACCGGGGGGAATTCTGAGTGACGCAATCATGGAGGGCTCATCCCAAAAAACAGAGAACAACAACAGCTTCCTTTTTAGTGCTTATTTTGTAATTTGAAATGAAAAGTCTGAGAAATACCGCATTGAGGAAATCTTTGTTGGATTAAAAACGTACATTGGTACAGTTTGTTTTGAAGACGATTCCACTTAGTAGAAATAAAGGAGCATTTATTCTGAGCTCTGCAAAGTGATATTCTCATTCAGAAAAAAAAAACACATAAAAAAGCAGTTCATAGGTCTAGGTTAAATCGATTTGATAAGTACTGTTTATAGAGAAGACGATCAGCAAATAAAATCCTTCTTGTCCTTTTGTTGAGTCATGATCTTTCCACCATTGTAGAAAACATCACATTGCCTAAAAAAAAATGTTTAAAAATAGCTTTAACAAACTGAATACTAAATGTGAGTGTTGGTGTTTGTATCCTTGGGATGGCTTAAATAGTTAGATTTTTGTATGGTTTATATGTTGTCATCAGAATATGTCAATAAAAATAATGTTTGAAAAATGGACACAACCAACATCTGATGTTAGGATATTTGTCCACATACAGGAAAAAAAAAAAGTATTCATTCCAGAAAGCTAAAACGTGAATGAAATCAAAAAGATAAAAAGACAAAATAAAATAAACAAGATCCCCTCAGTAATCTGAATAATGATAAAAATGCTACCAAGTCATCAGCTGACTTACACAAATGACCAGAGGAGTGTATGGAGGGTTTTAAATCATTTCCATCTTCACTTTTATTTTTCCAATTTCAGATACTTTAGTGCTACTTTATTAAAGTTTCCATAAATTATTTTATTTTACTAACAAAAGGCTTAAAATAAAAAAATAAAAAGGTATAGGTTTAAACTAGGGCCAGACAGATCTGGGATTTTTGGGTCTGATACCGATATTAGGGATTTAGACAACCCAATTTAATATTAAGCATATCTAAGATTCATGTCAGCCAGCCTTATCACTGATATCAGTCCACAGACTTTCAACATATGGACAGCAGACAAACACATTCAAAAGGAAATGGTTTCCACCTGACCATAATTCTCTAACCCTAAATGTAAAGCTGATAGAAGACCTCGGAGAAACACACCTGAGTCAGTGTAAAAGAAGAGAGCATGATGAAGTGGTCACACAGCCAGGAATATCCACTCCTGATAACACCCTCCTCATCAAATATTTAAAGACAGGAGGGAAAAAAAATAGACTTAAATGCCAGAAGATTCACAAGGGGATTTAAAGACGGGGAGATTGTTGCTCATTATCTACCTAAATGTCAGGGAAATGTGAACGCCTCGCAGAAGGTCTAACACGCTTCAGACGCTACGCTAACGTTGCTTTAGGCCTCCTTATTACCCTTTAATTTGATGGGGAAACATGTTGGTGTAGTTAAAGGCAGAATGCATTAATATTATGACACTTGAAGACGTTTACTAATGATTCATGGCAGGAGCTCTTCATATACATCCCTGTGTATATGCTGAGGTTGGTGGGAAGCTAAAATAAAAGGTCACGAAACAGAACGGGCTCTGTGACTGCACGAAGATATTGTTAGATGTGGGTTAATGTGACAGTGAGTCACCAGCAGTGAATAAACACAGAGCAGCACATCTGACAACGGGCTTTTATTTTGCTGCCGCCCAAAAACGTAATTAAGCCCCCCCCGATATGGGCATGTCACCTTGTTGTATCATTAACGTGGCTGGATCATTTCACTGTGCTTAGTTATTACTTAGCGCCCACTAAATAGAGCCTTCACCAGGCAGCCTGTGTGAGAGCTGCAGAGCCAGCTGTGGGTTATTACATCGCGACCACCCTCTGCCCCCTCTAACCTCGCAGTCCAGAGGACTTAAGTGGATAATACGTCACTCAGTAAGTTTATTTTATTCCTGGAGATTTACTCAAACGCGGGCCTTGAGGAATTGGACAGGAGTTGTGATGCTAGTTTATTTTTTCTTTCAGGCGGGGACACTGCAGCGACACTGAGCTCCCCCAGTCAATTAATTTAATCCTTATAGCTCTCATAAGGCGGCCCAGCGGGTGGAGATACTTAAGTGGCAGATTGATGGAACTGAGTGGGAAGTGACTGTATTTACTGATTATTTTTAGGCAATCCCTCGCTCTTTATCAGGATGTGGGAGCATGGATAAGGTTTTGGGACCGAGTCTGATCAGCACTGCTTGATTCTTAAATGACATGTCGCTCAAGATGATGCCTTCAGGCTCCGAGTTTTTTTACTATCAACTTTGACATAACTACAAAAACTAGTCCTGCAAAAACTTTTTAAGATGTTTACTGCCGTGTGCAGTTGAAAACAGGCTCAATTAGTTTCCATTTGCAAGCTTTTCATGGGTCAGCAGTGTGAAACCAAAAATCTAATGGGCCCAGAGTCTCAATCGCAAACTTGTAGTTTGATCCTTATCAGTTATCGGTTACGACCTAAAGTGATAAAAGACCCTGAAGCCACCATGAACTGGGAGCTGACCCAAACCACATGACCGTAATGAAACATGGAACTGGACCCGTATACAGTTTTACATCCTCGGTTCTGGGTAGATGAAGACCTTAAGTCCGCATCCATAAAATGAACAGTTTATTGACACCGTATGAATTACCCGATATTAGGTGCTCATTTTATTTTATTTTAATACATATCATATCTAATTTCTGCCCACTTTAAAGGGGAATATATTAGACATGGAGAACCGTTTCCCTTCAGTGTCTGACCTGAACCGTGACCTTCTTTAAATACATCGTGTTAAATGCTGCATCGTGTTAGCCGGCCCTGCTGTTGACCCCGTGGCGTTCCCCTCAGTGCTGTCTTTTATCGCATTATTTCATCATATATGATTTCCATGTCACATTGTGAGAGTCTCTCAGCATTGTCTGCAGTCAAAGGAAAGAAACCGTGGATCACACGTGGAAGGATATAATTAAAGTATCACTATCACCTCCTGAATGTATGAAGCTTTCTTATGGCGGGCATATCGTTTTAAAGTGGCTACTAAATGAGGCCAACTCTGTATCATTCAAATTAATCTGCTTAATCGAATATTATCTTGAAAACGCCTTCCTACTTTAAAGACGAGATGTAAGAGGATTTCAGAAGCCATCATTAAGTGATCGGTGACCTAATTCAGTTCTCTTTTAAAACCCACTTTACATATAGACCCGCAGTGAGTGTATCTATGATCGACTGCTTACTTCACTCTTTAAACATGTTCGCACGTTTCGGACTATTGTGCTCGTGAGCAATCCGTGAATAATGTATCACAACAACAGTTATTGTACTTACATCATATGTAGTGTAGGTGTACACTAAAGGTCTCTCACACACTTTTGGGTGCATGGGGTGTTGGATGAGCAGACCAAAACGGGTTCTGTCAGTTCTGTAGCAATTCCCGCTTCCTTATGTAGCGATCTTTGACGTAACATCCGGTGTTTCCACAGCAACCATAAACTCTGTCTGTCATGGCGGCTCTGTACTCTGTAAGACACTTTTAAACAATAAAATGAGGTATTTCTCTGGCTTTGATAACTGTTGGAAATATTTGAGGTAATGTAAGTAGTCAACAAACAAAAAAATATAACATAGGTTTAGCCAATTTGAAATTAATTTGGATATTGGAATGTAAACATTGTCATAAAATTCTACATATTGTAGCTTAAACTGTGAAGGTTAGTAAATGATATATGACCAGAGCATGTTGTTGAGCGGCCCTTTTTGACACTGGAGACGCTGATTTGTGGTGGAGTCAGCAGCTTCAGGGTCACATGGTAGAATAAGACATAAAACGGCTGGTCAGAGCTGCTGAGTGTCACACATGAAGGTCACGGTGCTGTCAGAGGTCAACATGAGATGAGATGGTACAGACATGTAGAGTACGTCACAGTATTGTTGTAGTTGTAAAATACTTTTATTCAGTGCCTGGGAGAAACAGTATAGCACAATTTGTTATAAAAATGGATATCCACAGGTTCAGTCAAGACGTCAAGCAGCACTGAGGCCGGGTTAGTGTCTGAGATTCAATCCAAAGCTGCTGCTGCACAAACATGCTGATGTCTCCGTCCCTAACACTTGTGACAGCAATCACTCCAACAAAGATTAGCAGCAAACTAATCATTTCCAGCTTACTCACTGATAGGCTCTTATTGAGTGGTAGAAAGGAAAAATAATCTTTTTTTTTTATTTATTCAAAAGGCTCAATTTCAGAGGGAGTCTTGCCCTCTGGATGTGGGATTATTCATTACAGCAGTGTGTCCACAAAAAAGTCATTTAAATGTAGTGTGAAGTAAGAGCGCTGCAACATTTACAGAGTTTGTAGAAAAATGCATGAAAAAGTATCTGTTCACTACATGAGCGTGTTCTCGTCGTGTAATAAGGCACAGTTTCTGTTCAGAGGCTCCTTTGATAAAAAAAACAAAAAAAAACAAAGCTGAATGTTCGGTGGTGTAAAGAATATAAATGAGGGTTTTTAGCTTTTTTTATTGCCCAAATCACGTCCTTACATAACTTCATTTAAAAATAAATATCTATTATCTTCTTTAAATTTAAAATAATCTTTAAACGTTTGCTCTACCCCGTCATAGCCCAAAGTTCTAAAAATGAAATCGGAAAAACAAATGTAGAAATGATCAATACCTAAAATAAAAAAACAGGATGGATATAGCATTTTTATAAACAGTTCAAAAGGAAAAAACATTGATAATGTCAAAATTTAACAAAATAAAAGCACAAATAACAAACATGTAATATACAGACTTTTTAAAAAATGGATACAATTTGAGAACATGTTAAGCCTCTTGGCTCTCGTTCCACCCCTTGTAGAAAATATGTGCCAATGCCCCCGAGAATAAAAGGACCAACACCCCCCTCTGTTCGACCCATCTCTTTGGCGTTTGTGGAGGGGAGGAGCAGACGATGCAAAGCGTCTATGCCAGGCAAAGAGCCTCAGGGCCAGTTCATCGGACGCCACATGTTCACAAGGCGTGTTGTCAGGGAATTAAAAAACTGTGTTTACCTAGGGCCCAGAACAAAAACAAAGACGGACGGACGGGATTTATTTTTTGGAGTGTGATGTGAAGGCGTTCTCGATACAGAGGATGATGTACGAGCCCGAGCAGCCGCTGGAAGTCTGCTGCAGGAGGTGTCCGCTCTGTAGCGATGATGCCAGACCAGACACAGCGTGCTCGCCCGCCCGCCATGTTTCACAGTAGTGGTCTGTTTGACGGTGGCCTTTGGTGCTCGATCCGTGCCAGACCATTTTCTCTGGCCTGGAGGAACAACACAAGAAATTAGGTTAGAATATATATAAAAGCTATTTAGGATTTTACCAGAGCACAGAGGCTGTAACTGCATTAACAGCTACATTATAGTGCACAGGATGTTGTATTAAGGTGAAAGATACAAACCAAAAAGTATCCAGTTAACAAAGACTCACCATGCACTGTCCCTGAGGGTGTCTCTACCATCAAAGGAGTAGATCGGTACATTCTCTCTCATTTTGCTCGCATTTTCACCAAATATAGACTCCCAGCTGCTGAACAATACTTGGTCCTGCAAGGAAGGAAATGCAATAACTTCATTTGAATTCCTCCAATAAAAATCGTTCCTATCTCACTGTTCTATAGAGATGATTAGACCACCATGAACTCAAAGCAAACTCAAACCCACCATATCTAAATTAAAATTGTCTTTATGTAGTACTGATAGATTTCCCACAATTTCTTTTTTTTTTCAATAAAAATCTACATTTTCCCAAAGTTTCATGTCCCAATTTGTCACAGAGGTCATACCAAACTGACCAAGGCCGTTATGCAAATAAGATGTGGTATCATTTATGTCAACACTTTTTCTGGATATGAATCGAAAGCTTGAATTGTAAAAACACAAGTCAGAAAAACCACTGATACACAACACTGCCTCTTCCCCCGGAAAAAAATGTCTCACCTTGAGGTTGACGATTGGGTGGCTGTCCCTGTCCGACCTCCGGACGATGGTGTAGAGGTCCTGAAGTTTGGAGGACAGGAAAGCTCTAAATGTCCCCTTTAGACCTATGGCACGGGCCTGCTGGAAGCACAGGAAGTCTGCCCCGCGAATTCCTCGCATGTTTCCACTCTGAGGGGCGTTCAGGGCGATGAGGTGTAGCTGATGGAGACGAAAGATGGAATGAGTTAAATGTAGGCAATGGAATATTTTGATGTCATGCCAACTTACTGTGCGTTAATTGTATATGATCAGCTGCTTAACTGAACTGTACTTACTCTCTGATGTACGTCGCTTTGAATTGTAAAATTGTAGAATTGTACTCACTCCTGATCCTGATGTGTCCAGGTTGCCTGCAGGCTGGGGGACAGGTGGGCTGGGACGTCTCTGAGGTGTGACGGGTTGTCTGTTCTCGTTTTGTTTGTTGGCTAATCTTCCATCTGTCTGGCCTGTCTGTCTGGGGTCTGGGAATCTGGGGTCATAATGTGGGGGGTATCTGGGATCTACAGGTGGGTGAGGTGGAGGCTCAATGGGACGTATGGATGAACCACCCTGGGAATAATGGCCAGCTCCGTTGTTGTGGGACTGGTCCTGGGACTGAGGGTACTGGATCACAGGTGGAGGCTGGACCTCTGCGACCTCATTCTCCTTCAAATGAAAATTTGAATGATTAGAGAACTGTCATTGCAATTTAAAGTAGAATACATGTTTATTTTATTTACTTGTTATCTTTAGTGAAACTTACCAGATGTCTGAAGAAAGGACTGTACTCTCCAAGCTGAAAGAGAAAACATCATGTTTAGTTTAGCGCCTTATTGTCATCACTGAGATAATTACTCCCTTTGCACATGTTAGTCGTGTTAACTTTTAAAAAGTAGTAGTTTGTAAACTTCCTCCAGTGTTCTGCCCCCTAATGGCCAACAATCAAATACAGGAACAGCTTCATATTTTAAAGAACCAAAGCTCAATGTTCTATAGATAAAACAGCTAGTTTGAGCTGTGAATTACAAATAGACCACTGTACCATTACTTGGCGCAGTCCGTCTCGTACTCTCAGATACAGGTCTGATTGGTCGATGATGTAGATGAGGCTGCCCTCTGCCTGACGCCTGGCTGTAGCAATCATCGTGTCGTACGATCTCAAAACTGTAACCTGTGGAAAACAAAAACACCCGACTTACTTAGAATTCAGTGATGATGCATTTTAAGGAACTAATCATGTAGTCAGAGGATGGCACTTACCCCTGAGGAAGGACCAGGAGTTCCAGGGGGACCAGGGGGACCTGGAGGTCCAGGATTATTGACGGCTATAAATAAGAAAAAGTAATGTGAAAACAGCAGCTTGAGGTCACCTCACACTAGCAGTGGTAGGGACAGTATAACTGCAAAGAGCAGTGAGTTTAGGAATTGACAGAATAGTTAAACATCAAGAAGAAGCCACTTACAGTGATTGGGCCTGTATGCTCCGGGAAGTGAGGAAGACCCTGGCGGCCCAGGTGGTCCTGGGGGCCCTGGACGGCCATCGTAACCAATCCCTGGTGGTCCCTGAGGCCCCTGAGGTCCGGCAGGGCCAATGACAGACTCTCCCTTTGGTCCCTGACACAAAAGAGACAAATTTAATATGAAACACTGGATTATTTGGTGATTTTTAAAGATAAAACCAGAAATCTGGTTAGTATATATTTACAGATATCTGTGAATATCAACTCATAATTTTGCTCTCAGAACTTACCGGAAGGCCTGGTTTTCCTGGAGACCCTGGTTGGCCTTGAACTCCTCCAAATCGTGGGTCATAAAATCCACCACCTGGCTCTCCTTTTTCTCCCTTCACACCCGATTCTCCACGATCTCCTTTCAGTTCATTCTGTTTCAAACATTTAAACATTATGATTCTTCTTCATACAAAACATTGATAGTACTAATGAAACTGGTTGGTGATGAAACAATAAGACTGTTTACCTTGAAGGCGTAGATATCAATATTAGGGGATGTTCCTGGTAGAGAGAGACGGGAGAGAGTAAGTACAAATAATTGACGTCTAAAAGAAATCCTGCATTAAAACAAACATGAGACCTGTATGAATATTCGGATATACCTGGGATTCCTGGAGATCCTCTGTCACCACGCTCTCCTTTTTCCCCTTTAGTTTCTGCAACAAATACAAATGTGAACCTTTCTCAGTAAGACACAGCAGCCCTCAGGTGTATCTTGACATTGAGACTTAAAAAACTGTTAGCACCCTGTGTCATTGATAGTGATGTCTTCTGTGTTTTATCTGTTCATTCTTCAAATCTAGAAAGGCTTGACGGCTTAATCTCTTGACAATAGAGTGAATATCCCCGCCGGGCTGAGGCAGCTGGATCAAACTCAAATTAAGATAGAAGTGTTCATCTGTGCAGACTCTTTAAACCTCTTTCTAAATCTCTCTTCCTTGACTCGCACAATTACTTAACTTCAGCATTCTGATCCCCCTCTATTTCCCGTTTATGTTTGATCTGCTAAAACAACAAAAGTTGTGTGTTGGAGGTCATACCGTAGTAATTCCTTGAATTTTCATCGTAGCGCTACAAACAGAAAGAACGACTGTCAGTTGAGGAAATTCAAGGCAACAGTACAGGAAAAAGTTTTATTGAAAGTGCATGCTACGTTATGCAAATTATGCAGAACATAAGAAGCAGATTATGACTCGTTCACTGCCCAAAAGACTCGAGTGTGATCTGGTTCAGCGAGAGGGTACATGAGGGACATGAACTTTGTGTCATAATCTGCTGATTATTCTCAGCTGTACAGACACGTTTCCAAAATTGAGTTCAAAATAAGAGTTTTGGAAACTTGTGTACTCACGTTGAAGCGATCTATAGCTGGCGCAGAGGGTCCGGGGGGGCCGGGTGGTCCTGGTGGGCCAGGGACTCCCTGATAAAGAATGAGGTTGTCAATATTTCTTACCGCTCAGTGTGTGTCTGTGTGTGTGTGTGAAGAATGATTCCAATTAGGTAGTTGTGAGGGTCACAAACCATCAATAACATGCACAGTGACACTGTGTGCATGCACTGATGTAAACATTGTGTATGTTTCTACCATTAGCACAATCCTCTAGTAAAAAGTGACAAGTCTGTGCAGTGTACAGCTTGATGAGGATTAAAGATGCCCACTCCAGAAAAGGACTCGTTTATTTTAGTCATGTTATTGTCATGTCAACATTTATCACAGTGGCGTCTGCAAACTCTGCGACTTATTTAAATGAATAAGGAAAGGTGCGCGCATGCTTTCCAGGCCACATACACATCAGAGCTGCAGAAAATACTTCCTTTCATTTCTCAAAACCCAGGACTCCTGTAACTTTTCCAAAGACTAACAGGTGTATACAAAGTGCACATTGGTTAGCTGGCCACTTGAAGAGATCTTAAAAAGTGTCTTTGTGGAAAATGTTACATTTAAATAAAATAAGCTAACAGGTTTACTGATGTAGCCAGCCAGCCAACCTTCACTCTTCATTTTCACTGACTGTAAGTCCTAGTGAAAATGTCACCTGTGGCAGGCTAGCCTTAACCACCTCTGTTTTGACAGAATGCAGGTCACAGACGGGTCACATTTAAATCTTATTGTGACACTCGAAGCCGTTCATGACACACTGGCATGGCTCGGGGGTTCTACAGTAAGCAAGATTATGTCAAACTGTCTGTTTCAAATTCCACCAATGTCACATCAGCTTTTCATCAAAGGCACATATAATGTTAACACTCACTGGGTAGCCAAAGCCAGTTCCAGCCGACGCCTCTCCTTTCTCACCCTTGTATCCATTTACACCAGGACGACCCTGAGGGGAGACAATCGTTAATGTTCACCTGCACTTAGAAAAACGGACACTGTGCGGTGGAAATGAGAAGGGGAAGCGTCTTTGTGTTTATTTTGAGTGTATCAGAGTAGTGTTACATATTTCAGATTCGGATTCCATTAATTATGAATACAACAACAAAGAACACAAGCACAGAATTAGTCACTTGTAGAGCCAATAGCAGCAGGGACAGGCTGATATCTGCGGCTGATTGGTTGCAACTTAAACTGAATAATCAAAGTGTACCAACATTACATATCAGGTCAGGGTACTTACAGGTCTTCCAGGCATTCCAATTTCACCCTTAAGTCCAGGAGGTCCATAAGGACCCTAAAATATAGATAATGAAAAAACAAGGTTTAGATGGAACAAGTGTTAAACTGCATAAGTGTAGAAATCTTTTTTAAGAGAAGCTCAGACACTTACAGAGGGTCCAACAGGTCCAGCATGTCCTCTGTCTCCCTACATGAGCAAAGATCATTTTCAACAACAAAATTCCTGAATGCAATGCAGTGCACCAAACTTGAATGTGCAGCGATACACTGAGACATAGGGAGACTCACCTTCAGACCCGTCAGCCCCTCCAGAGACATAAGGTTTCCGTCAGGCCCGATTACTAAGCCAGGCTCACCTTTCTCACCCTGAACACAGAACAGCAGCAGCAGACATAAAGACTTAATAATGGTGGCATCCTCTTGATGATGAGCAGCTTAATTAATAGTGAACAACCAAGAGGTTACCTTCGATGCATAGCCTGGAATGCCGGGCTCTCCTCTATCACCCTTTGGTCCAATAGGACCCTGCAGGACAAAGATAATAAAAAGTTATTTACATACAAAAGGTCGGAGTAACAGTCCTTTGGCAGCAGGGAAGACTCTGTTGCACTCGATCAATTCAAGCCCACACAATCAGCCATTCTATTAAACTGTCTATACAGTACCGCTCCTGAACTGCTGAGTGGACTGATGTTTAGATATCGAGTGTAGAAATTAGGGCATGAGATGTTTTGAGCTTCACTAAGCAGATGCAATACCAGTATGTTAAATCAGTGGTACGGAAAAAAGCCTTTGAAGCTTGATAAGGTGTGTGGGTGACAAACTGTGCTGTTAAATTGTCTGTAAGAACTGGCCCTTCTTTTGGGCCAGAAGCAGTCTGTTTCTGTTTCACTGCTGTGTTGAAGTCAAATCTACAAAGACCAGATATTTGTTTGGATGAGATAAAGTTTAAGGATGCAGTTAGGTATCCATGAACAAAACGGTCAGCACTGTTAGATAAAGAACACAACTTCCCCTTTGGTCTGAGAGGTGGACTGACTATTACTATTACTGGCTCTGATCTTTACATGTGATGACGCCATGTAGTTTAGTTAAATATTGTCAGCTATCATCTTTTTCTGGTTAGATATTTTCTGGTTGGATATATTTGGGCCCTTTTATGACTTGAACAGGACAGTAGAGAGTGACAGACAATACTGGGAGGACAAAGTGGGGAGCGACAAGCTGAAAACATCTAGGCTTGATTCCAGTGCCCCCATTTATGTTTTTTTTAGGATTCTTGTAACATTTATGATTAAGATAGGAAAGTACAGAAACACAGGAGACTTACAGGGAATCCAGCCTGACCAGGTATACCAGGTCCTCCCTGGAGAAGAAAACACATCCAACATATAACAATATATCATTTTGTTTGCAAATAAAACAAAAACTCAAAAGTGAAAACACAAACATCTTTTTCTGTCCCTTAATAGTCGGACATGTTTGACATGTAGTTTGTCAGATAGTAACAGCTTTCACTCGCTGCACATGGATGATATACGTCTGCGTTTAATCACAATGAAAGTTTAGTTGTGTTATTTTGCGGTTGTCTGTTAAAGGTCACACAGTAATGATGAAGTTTGATATATCTGAAATAACGACACCCTGTCATTACTGATGGTGGGTCAATAATTAACCACAGACAGCAGAGGACAAGTTAATAGTACGTTACCCCTCGTATTAAAAAAAACTTGTCATGTCTCAGCTGATGGACGTCTCTACAGTATAATTACAAGGTCATGTACGTTACACAGAGCTCTACAACAAACATGATGCTCCAAGGATGAAGTTTTCCATATGAACTTAGATTTCTGTTTGAAAGAAACCACTGGGAACACTTTATTAACCCATGTGAACTTTAAGCTGGAAGAAATCAAATACCTGTTCCTGTACAGACCTGCAGGCGTGTGAAAATAAATCACTCATGTGTATGAGCTATATTTAAAGTAGAGTTGTTTCTCTGTCAGTATCACAGTGTAATAAAAAAAATACAAACCTGAGGTCCAACACTGCCAACAGTACCATCAGGCTGAGGACACACAAGGGCACACAAAGTTAATAAAGTGATTCAACTGTTTTGATTTCAGTCATACATTCCAGAGGCAGAGCTGGCTGTATTCCTTTAAATGTAGTTTAGTTACACGCCTGCCGACACATTGTGTTACTCACATTGCCAGATATCTGATAGACAATTTGACCTGGAGGTCCAGGCGGGCCAGGTGGACCCGGAAGTCCACTCCCGTCTCGACCTGACTCACCCTAAAAACACAAGATGCGAACAGACAAGAAGGATTAATACGTTTACCATCTTAGAAGACATCAAAGATTAAAACAATGCTCCATATGAAACTTCAATATTTGTTCTATTAGTGTATTTCTTAAAAAAAAAGATAATCAGTGTCTTCTTTTCCCCTCTGAGGTTTAAAAAGAGCGATAAAAAAATAAATAGAAAATGCAGAATAAGATGGTGTGTGTTGCAATCCAGTGAACTCTATAAATGAACATGTATTATTGAAGGTTAAATGAGTATTCACCGTCTCTCCTTTGTCACCTCTGTCACCCTTTGGTCCCTGTGAACAGGATGAAAGAGAAATGAGATAAAAGATGAAAGATTCATCCAGAGCTTTTAGCATTTGTTCAGCACCTTCATAACACAACAGGCTCCTTTACAGTGTTGTACTCCTGTCGATTCATAATGAGTTCAATCGAGTGCAAAATAACTGATTATTCATTTTCACACTCATCATCAGGCCATCCTCTTACCTGAGGTCCAGGGAAGCCATCCAACCCGGGCTGACCATCTCGTCCAACAGTGCCTTCATTGCCCTTCTGACCTGGAATACCAGGGAACCCAGGTTTACCCTGCAGAGGTACATTCAAACATAAAAATCAATTGAAACACATACTTGTGCTAGCTGCAATATATATCAATGGACCATATATTGATATGCGATGAAGCTGGTCCTGCTGACCGTGAAGGTACACACACATGGAAGCTGCTTGTTAGCGTGGTAACAAACCGACCTCTGGGTAAAGCCTCTGTGTTGCTGTGAGGTTGTCATAACGACCCCTATATTTTCCCGTCTTCTTCTCAATATGTTAATATCTGTACATTCCTATACATATTATTCCTCTGCTTTGTAGATCAGTGAATCCATTGTTATTAGCAGTATTGTTGCCTCTTAATTCCCCTAAAGAAGCAATTTTCTGCAGCTCATTTTTCTTTAGGCCTTTTTGTTTATTTAACAAACGTGTAATGACAGCAGAGGAGAGTCACAAGGAGACGTCGACAACAAACCTGAATGTTAAAGAAACTCATTAAGACTCTTGAGGGGGCACGGCGCTTAAACACTCGCTTATTGTCTTGACTCAGGTCAGGTAGGCCGACATTCACTTTTCCACCAGTCTCGCATACACATGTGAGCTGCTGTGGTTCAAACTATGATCGTTGTAGAAGGGGGCGTGAGGACCAGCTAATAACAGATAACTAAAATTCAGATTACTGAAATGTAAGTTACTTACTGGAAGTCCAGGCAGGCCAGCAGGACCCTGAAAACAAACACATGTGTCTTCATTATTGGTTAGCTCATTTTTCTTCCTCATGTATTTGCTACCTGTACTTAAAATTTGAACTAGTTCCAGTTAAATAGTCGGATTAAAGCTTCTGTTCTATTCGATTTCTACTGTTAAAGAAATGTTGCTTTTTTTTACTTTTCCCGAGAAGGCCAACAACCAGTGTAAAGATTGATTTAATAAATATCAAATGAAATGTATACTGAATGAGTGCTGCACATTTCACAACTGCGTTTTTAGAAGTGTTCAAGTACCAGTACATCCTTAAAGGAGATCTATTTGCAGCCGTGGAATCCTGCTTGATCTGAGCGAGACGTTTCTAGAACTTGCTGAGATTTGGCCAGAATCTGATGTCAGGTTCTGATGACGTATTAGAGCAAAGCATGGAGCGGAGATGTAGGACACGCCCACCTGGAAGCGCACTCAAATTTCCCTGCGACTGCAAACAGAGCTGGCCAATTAGCGGAAAGTGGGAATGTGGGGAGGCGGGCCTTAAAGAGACAGCAGCTGAAATGAATTGTTTCAGGCAGAGGCTGAAATGAGGGATTTTAGTGACACCAGTGTCAGATAAATAGGGAGGTTTTTGTGTGTCACATCTCGAAACTAGGTGTCCCAAACTGACATCATTAATGGTGAGAGTAAGGATCATAGATCTCCTTTAAGCGGTATTTGAATTGGAGAGAAAATCTGAATACATGAATCAAAAAGAGTATGTTTGTTGTTGTTTCATCTGATTTTGCTACTGATACCTGAGACTTGCTTTTTTTGTAAAAGTTTTTGTAAAGTTTCTTGAGATAATTTCATCTTCACATGACCTAAAAAATGTAGTTATATTACTGACCTGTATTCCTTCTGGTCCTCTGACACCAGGAAGTCCGTTGCTAAAACCTCCACCCGAGCCCTCCATGTCATCCTTCAGACACAGACAAAGATTTTTTTAAGGTGACATCCAAACAACACTTTATAGTTTATACTTCTCTACATTCCTGTTACATTATTTTGGAGCCGAACAAAATGTATTTTCACATGTAGAAGAACTCACAAATCCAACACGATAACTTGGTCCAGGAGGTCCTGGAGGTCCAGGTTGACCAACTGGTCCTATAGGTCCAGGCAGACCAGCCAGTCCAGGTTGTCCAGGCGATCCTGGTAAACCAGGGTCTCCTACAGCTCCCTGTAGGATGAAATGATAGAAGTTAGTACAGTGAAGATTCAAAACAGGATTTAATCTTCAGTGAGTTGTTTAGGAAACATTGTGTAAATCTGGTAGTTCACAGGACGGCTTCTACATGTATCATGCAGCATTTAGTTATCAGGTCTAGAAAGTGTGAGGTTTAAGTATTCAAAACCCATGCTCATTGTTCAGGAACCAAACTCAGACATCAACAAATGTTAAACCAAACCACAGCTAGCACTCAGAATAAACTGTGTGTCAGGTCTGCTGCAGACAATATTTGAAAAACATTTGCATATTGTTAAGACACAAATCCCCTCTGATGGCTGAAGTGCTGGAGCCCAGTTACCTGAGGATGGGAGGACTTAGAAAAGTAGGAGGAGGAGAAATAGTGAGGCAGCAGATCGGAGAGAAAAGAAAAGTAGGAGCTTGGCTGGAGAAAGAAAATAGATGAGAGAAGCTTTAGAAGTGGCGGGATGATGGTCGATATAATACTTATGAAACGGCCACCATTATACTGTTTTGGTGTTTTTTGTAGATCCCAGAATAAATGTGCAGCTACTCACGGCTAAACTGTTTAAAGAAAGAGAACATTCAAGTTCACAATAATATCCTCACCTTTGCTCCAACTGTTCCGGGAAGACCCAGATCACCTGAATCACCCTGGAGTGAGAAAAACAGTCAAACAAGACTGTTAGCAGCAACACCAGTCAAGCTCAAGAGAAAAGTTGAACTTCTACTTAAAGTTCAAGGAAAAATAGTCTTAAATAATGCCATGGCCATTGTTTATGTATTTCGAAAGAGACAGGGTTTTTTTTGTTGTTTTTTTTTTTTTTACATATTTGGCTCAAGAGCATCTTTGGGATGGCGGTTCCAAAGCGGCAGTCATTCTCAGACACCTGAAGCCGACTTCATGAGTAAAAGCAAACACACTGCTTTAGCCTACCTATACATGTTTTTATAAAATGCCATTTCCCGCCTCTTTACACTATTTAACATTTAACATTTTAGGAGTGATAACACTGGTGAGTTTGTTTTCCAAAGAGGAAGTTAGTTAGCCTAGCCCTGCTGTGACTGCATAACTACTACATGGCTATTGTTATTTTTTCAACACCTGCACCTCAATTATACCTCACTCTGTTCTAGTCTATAATGTCCTGAATATGTGCCTTTCTAACCACAGACATCACTAATCAAATAACACACTCTGAGGTTTTGCACACTTATAACTAAAACTGGCATGTTGATATTGTGTCTTCAACAGGTTCATTGTGTGTTTTCACTACAACTAACATTAAGAAGCTTTGTGGCTTAATTTCTAGGATTGAAAATGACTGAAAATGACTTAATCCAGACATAGAAACAATGGTTTTCAAAAGATTGATACCTTTTCTCCCTTGGGGCCACTAAGTCCTGGAGAGCCATCAGTACCTGGCAAACCGGGCAAACCCTGCAGTCCAAAAAATTAGTTTCAGTACAATACCATACTTGTTTATGCGGTGAGAATGAAAATGATACAATCAGGATTCAGACAGATTAAATGTTTAGAGAAATGTTTGGCTCTTTGTGTTGGCAGACTGAGAAGTTGATACAAACCTGTTGACCAGGCGCTCCATCTCTCCCTGGAGGTCCAAATGCCCCAGAACTGGACGCTGTACCTGCTGTAGAAGGACCAGGAAGGCCGGGGGGACCAGGGGGACCAGGAAGGCCAGGAAGTCCCTGAAACAAAACAGAAAATATTCATTAAAAGTGATCAATAATGATTTACAGGTGACAGATTTCCATCTCAGATGAGAAATGTCTCACACAAACATTGGATCTTTCTTCTGCTTGAACTTTGAAAGATGCTGGTAACTATCTAACCACAAGTACAAGTGTTGAGTGTTATTAGTGAAATATCTGTTTGTTCTCACCCGCACAGATTCCAGATCAGGAAATCCTGAGCCCTCCATGTCCACAAAGGTCTGAAACAACATCAAGTGAAATCAGCTGAAGTCCAAAAATGATTCATAAGAGCTGGTAGTCATGTGCTGATACAGTTTGATAATTTCACAGCATGTGACTGAAGCAAACATTCACTCACAGATCTCATCCCTGGGCCTGGAGGTCCAGGAGGTCCTGGTGGTCCCCTGAGGCCAGGTTGACCATCTCCACGATCTCCCTGTGTTCACCAGAGTGATTAAGAAAACTCAAATACGACTCTATTACAAGCATCACTGTGTGCAGCTAATATGTTTAGCATTTCAGCTGGTGTGTTTATCAGTGAGCATCTCACCTTCTCTCCTTTGAGTCCAGCGTCACCTGGAGTTCCTGGGAAGCCTGGAGGTCCTTCAGGACCCTGTGGTGAGGAAACAATATCGTGTGAGAAAAGAAGGGACTATTGACTAGGCTGTTTACATTATCTTTGATTCTTGGTACATGTTAAAGATTTTTGATCAGTTTTGTTGATATCTTGTAGAAAAAAAACAACTTACAGTCTTTCCATCCTCACCAGGATCACCCTGTAAATTGAAATACGGAATGAATGAATAAAGTCCTCTTTAGAATATTTACACGAGACCATTCACATTCCCAAATGAGTATACATTTTCACTTTGTAAAGATCATAAATATCTCTAACATCTTGTCTGATACATGTGCTCCACAAAACATATTTCATCAAACAACATGAAAAACAGGCCATCTTGGTTAAACAACCACAGCACCTCTGTTAAACGTTCGGCGCTTCCAAGTAAAGAATTTAAACTGTAGTCTACTCACTGGCTCTCCATCAGCTCCTGATGGCCCCTGGGGGCCAGGAGAACCAGGTGGCCCTCTGGGTCCAGGGACTCTGGAAGCAACTGCACCGTCACTGCCGACTGAAAACTCTGTTGCAGGCCCTGGAGGGCCGGGTGGACCAGCTGGCCCAGCAGGGCCGGGCTCTCCCTTGGTACCTTGGTAACCAAAGCCTGCAGAGCCCTGAAGATGAAGAAGCATAACAGTTAGCTGAGGTAACGGCATTGATATCGTATACAGTATATGCCATATTAGAAAAGAAAAGAAAAGAAAAACGATAAACACAAGTATCACATGGAGAGGATGAAACACCTGCTGGGTAACACAGATGTTGTAAACATGGGGACCGTCTCATGAACTTTGTTTCAAGGAGAACAAAGATACAGAAAACAAAGACTTTGTCTGTTTCTTACCTTTGTTCCTTTTTCCCCTGGTTCACCCTGAAAATACAAGAAGAAGAAACAGAGTAAACAGTCATTAAGCTGTCATATCTCTCTTGATTCACTAATCCAACGATTCAGAGAACTAAAGTTAGAAAAAGCCAAAGATAATATGTCGATTCTTAACCCCTAAACCACGATATGATTGATACTTTTTGCTCTTGTTTGTTTAAATATTTGTTAATCATTTTTACCATTGTATGTCTATATACTGTATGCCTCTTGCTTGATTGTAACTCTACACTTTTTATGTTTATGTTTCTTGTTTTGTGTAAATTTAAAAAACAGAGACTGATTATGCTGAAAAAAATAATCCTTGATACGTTGTTTTCTAATATTATTAATTTAAAAATCATTTTAGACATAATAATTATTTTATAATTTCTATTTTATTTCTAAAAAGCCTCTGGTGAACAGGTGTTGCATATTAGCTTCTCGCTATAAACACTAAGAGCAGTGCATGTGGGACGTGTGCATGGTTAAATATCACAGCCCCAATGTTACTGTACGTCCATGTCAAATAAACAAATAAACAAATTCAGTAGACCATGTGACCTGAGCTGTAAAATGAAGGTGAACTGAATTAAAGAACACTTGAAGGGTTAATGACTTTATTTGTATGATGCTTTCGGGGTTGAGGTTTGAAGAACATATGATATGCTTTGCATTTAGTTTTGTTTTTACACTGCCCCCTCCTGGCTGTTGAAGAGAGTTGTGAGTATGTGAGGAGTTCACAGTAGGTGCTGTGGATCTGTCACATTGATGCTTTGGACACTAACTGTTTGTAGGTTCCTCTATGTTTGACTTCTTTTACATACAAAGGAAGAAACGTCAGTTTTTTAGTTTGTCGCTTTAGAACATTTTATTGCAGTAGATTGATAGCTAGCAGAGCTTTAAGCTAGCAGCATGAATAAGACATTTTCAGTTCAAATTGTCGTTTAACACCATGCCTTATTTTCTGTCTTTTCTAATGTATTTTGAAATGTGTGCTTTGTTGCAGTTTTACAAAATACTGAGTGCTTGGAAATAAAAGGACTAATTTGTTTGTGGGTGTATTATCAGTCCTGTGTATCTTTCATCTTTATGTTAGCATACTGTGTGTAAAACTAAATATAAACATATCATGAAAAATCCAAATGAGACCTTTTCTGGGAGAAAATCGACAAAAATCCTGAATATCAGTGTCAGGCCTACAATGATGTCATCATCTTAAAATCATTGTGATGACTAGAGAACTTATCACATATGAAAATGTATCTTATACATTTAATAAACAGAAACCAGCTGTATAACAAATACATAAAAAGGCTTAATATAATGATGAATAAGCCTCCATAAATTAGGGCTTGCAGCTCCCTCTTGTGTTCCTTCAAGTTCAACACAGCTCATATACAGTTTATATTTCTTCAGTCCATGCTCATCATGGTTATATCCACTAACTCACTGTAAGCTTCAGAGGGACATATTTGGTTTTTCTGCATCACCAGTTGAACCCAAATCTTAAACTGCATATCAGAGTATTTCTCTTGCACTACTATATCATACAATATTTTAAAAAAAGGATCCAAACCTTCTCTCCTCGGGCTCCACCCCGCGAACTGGAGCTGGAGCTAGAGCTGGTTTCTCCCTTCGGCCCAATAGGACCCCTATCTCCTTTCTCTCCTCTATCACCTTGTTCGCCCTTCTCTCCTTTAGACCCGACTGGCCCTGAAAACAACAACAAAGAGACAGGGCCATTAATACTCTCATGAAAAGACCTTTCAAAAATGATGAATGATTGTATCCCCAAACCCCAAATAATACACGTGACATTTCCTGCAACCCAAAGCAGAAGAGGAGGACAGAGGAAAGGAAAACCACTTTCTGCTCGATGGAGAGAGAATCCCAGCGTGCACGGCTGCAGCTTAAAGGTCACGAGAAGATTTAAAGATGGTTACAGAATACACCGTCCCACAGCTGCATGCACTTCCAAACCAAAAAGTGTTTTTGGTGTGAGCTGTATTGACCATAAACTCTTCACAATGACTGTGTGTGACACCGCCATCAGTGAAGCTTGTCTCAACACTCCTGACACAAAATGGTGCATACATGTTTCTTTTTATGGTTTAGAGTAGAACAACACAAAATGTAATCCTATGCCTCAAAACAGATACATGAGCATAGAATATTAACTGAAAGATTTATGTGTCAATTCATTGCATTAGTATCCAAAGCTAATATGCAATCCTTGTCCTTTTCAGCAATAAAAAATCCTCCATCTTTTCCCCCAATTTCTCTCATTTTATCTCCCTCTTGCTTTTTCTCTCTCCCAATTGTGCTCCTCTATTTTCCCTCTCTGTGCATAATTCTTCAGGGGATTACAGCCGGAACAACCCCAATATTTTCATCCCTTTGGCTTATACACAAACATGTCTTAACACCCTTGGTGAATTCAAAAGCATAAAGCTGACAGTTTCATGCTTTCTTGAGTTTGTGTGCTTTTGAAATCCATGTGAGGTCCTGCAGGAGGAGTACACATGGAGGAGGCAGAACACCAGACCAGAGAGTAAAAAAAGGAAATGAAACACAGGACTTCTGGATGCTTGTTTCTGTGGGGCTTGTTTTTTAGTCCCCTCGACCCACCTGGTGACCCAGGAAGTAGTCCAGGCCTGGACTCCACAGAAACTGAATCCTGGCGGGCGTCGCTTGCTGAACACAACGCAAAAGATTGTGTGAAAAAAATGGTCTCCATATAAACACGATGTAATGTCAGATGTTTCAGGACACGATGTAGGAAATGTTAAGCCAAGTCCTATTGTTATTGGACCATCTTAAGAAGAACATTTTCTAAGTTTCTAAGTTCAACACTACTGCAGCCCCTCACATCACAACTTAACTAAACACTACTGCAGCCCCTCACATCACAACTTAACTAAACACTACTGCAGCCCCTCACATCACAACTTAACTAAACACTACTGCAGCCCCCACCATCACAACTTAACTAAACTACTGCAGCCCCACATCACAACTTAACTAAACACTACTGCAGCCCCCACCATCACAACTTAACTAAACACTACTGCAGCCCCCACCATCACAACTTAACTAAACACTACTGCAGCCCCCTCACATCACAACTTAACTAAACACTACTGCAGCCCCCACCATCACAACTTAACTAAACACTACTGCAGCCCCCACCATCACAACTTAACTAAACACTACTGCAGCCCCTCACATCACAACTTAACTAAACACTACTGCAGCCCCCACCATCACAACTTAACTAAACACTACTGCAGCCCCTCACATCACAACTTAACTAAACACTACTGCAGCCCCTACCATCACAACTTAACTAAACACTACTGCAGCCCCTCACATCCCAACTTAACTAAACACTACTGCAGCCCCCACCATCACAACTTAACTAAACACTACTGCAGCCCCCACCATCACAACTTAACTAAACACTACTGCAGCCCCTCACATCCAACTTAACTAAACACTACTGCAGCCCCCACCATCACAACTTAACTAAACACTACTGCAGCCCCCACCATCACAACTTAACTAAACACTACTGCAGCCCCACCATCACAACTTAACTAAACACTACTGCAGCCCCCACCATCACAACTTAACTAAACACTACTGCAGCCCCCACCATCACAACTTAACTAAACACTACTGCAGCCCCCTCACATCCCAACTTAACTAAACACTACTGCAGCCCCCACCATCACAACTTAACTAAACACTACTGCAGCCCCACCATCACAACTTAACTAAACACTACTGCAGCCCCCTCACATCCCAACTTAACTAAACACTACTGCAGCCCCCACCATCACAACTTAATTAAACACTACTGCAGCCTCCACCATCACAACTTAACTAAACACTACTGCAGCCCCCTCACATCCCAACTTAACTAAACACTACTGCAGCCCCCACATCACAACTTAATTAAACACTACTGCAGCCTCCACCATCACAACTTAACTAAACACTACTGCAGCCCCCTCACATCCCAACTTAACTAAACACTACTGCAGCCCCTCACATCCCAACTTAACTAAACACTACTGCAGCCCCCACCATCACAACTTAACTAAACACGACTGCAGCCCCCTCACATCCCAACTTAACTAAACACTACTGCAGCCCCTACCATCACAACTTAACTAAACACTACTGCAGCCCGTCACCTTTCTCACCACAACATGAATTCACACATCAACTCTCTTCTTCTTCTTGCTCATTATTTTACAAACATCTTTATCGTCCTCCTACACAATGTTTTGTATTCTCTTTCCTTGTATTGTCAAGCAACTTCACACATTAAAGCATTGAAAAACATTTATAGGTATTACTTGGTCAAACTTGATACCCGTCAGCACCACCTGGAGGCAGAATCCAGGAGGAATAATTATCGGACAATTATCAGGTAAAAAAAGGTAAATTCAGCATTTTGAAATAGCACCCATCACAAATTTAAAAATAAACTTTCAAAAGGATCCTACATCCCACAAACTGACATTGGAAGAATAGTGTAGTATTAAATATTGTTATAATAATAACTAATCATAGAGATCAGAAATACATTATCCCATTTCTGCTGACAAGATGCTGGGTATGACGTCTTTGCCCCATGAGCACTGTTGTTTTTAACATATAAACCATTTTGCTTGCTATGACCTCATGTCCGCATCCCTTCATGTTTCACTGAGTGTGCAATTTAAGAACCATCTGTATTTAGCATTGTGGCTTTGTGGTCGCTGCTCTCTTCAAATCAGGTTCAGTAAAATATTATAATGTTAAATAGTATTATTTGTTTGCACACATTATGTGGCAGACAACACAACCACAAGGTTATAAACTGAAGTGAACTGTGTTCTTATTTTAGATATCAACCTGCTCCAGCTGTCGTTCACATCAACACCACTAGGTGGCAGCATGCGGCTTTCAAAGTGTTTACAGGACACAGTCATATATTTTCTGCACTGGAATACAACGATGCTACAGAGCAGGTTCATTATATATTTTTATAATTAGTATTAAAATAAAACTAACAAGGCGCAGCACTGGAGAAATATTCTTCATGTAAAAAGTGTTGAACCAAACTTGTCTTTTTAATTACAGAGAAAACCAGGGTAACATTATTTACTAATTTTACTTAACCCTGAATTTTAGAATATGTAAAAAGGTTTAATACTTTAAATATTTGACCATTTTCTTTCGTGTTCATTCTGACTTTGAGCCTGTGGTCCTGCATTACTCCTTTTGTCCACTAGATGGAGACCTGTATCAGTGAATCTGTCTGCATCTTCTAGGAATATGAACTCTGCAACAGCCTGCACTGTCATTAACTTTACCCTGCATACTCAACAGGTGAGATAAGTCACGTTTCAACAGGTGAGGCTACAAAAAAATGTTCTCAACTCTGTAATAAAGATTACAAATAATGTCCAACGCAGTGACATTTGCCAAACAGCAAGGGGCGAACCCAAAGACATATGTGAAACACTTCAGTCAAGAGCTTGCATACATACATCTAGACTTATAAAAAACTATTTCATTTTAAGTTAGTGAAGCTTTACCTCTGGTAGAGGAATGGTGGAACTTCAAGTAGATGTGTGTTCTTTGTTTTTGAGGACTCGATGGGCAGATATACTCACCAGTTTCTCTTGAAATTGACACCTCCTGTTTGCTGGTCACCGGTGGCTGCTGAATGGGCCGGGAGGATGGAGGAGTGGTCTGCAGGAACATAAACATGCCACAGGGAGAGAGGTAGAAATTTAAGAAGGGGAACACATGACATTTATTGGAAGCAACACAAAGCCTGTTGTAGATTCTAAGTCTCTTTTTCATTGAAGGTCCTTAAGACAAAACAGGAAACCTCACTTTGCATGGGAGAATGTTGGCCTCTTCACATTAATCCTAAACAATCCCAAAGAAACATGACTCATGTCGCTGCACTGTGTGACCACTGGAATACTTGAAATGTTTATTGTTTGTGCAGCTAAAGCCGTTTTCCAGACTAACGAGATGTTTTCTATCTGCTCTACACCAGACTTTTTGTCTTCTTAAAAACGACTGAGTCAACATGTGCAGGGATAGAAATAAATTCCTCACTTTTTTGGCATGTTGTTAAGTTTTCAGTAATTGCAGTTTATGTGTGAGTCACTGTAAGACATCTCATTGCAAAAACTGCTCTAAATGTGAACATCATTAAGGCTCTCGGGGAACACAGCGCCCAGTCTGTTATGCAAATCATTGCGAAAGTGAGAAAAAAAACATCCTGAATACAATAAGCAAGTTGTTTATAGGATACAAACACCCTCATTTATTGATTTATTTTTGTGTTTTTTTTTTACCCGTGACATAAACAGTTTATTAGGAGCGGCTGTATAATCTAGGTCTGAAAAAGGGAAGCAAATGCATCTGAATTGTTTTTATGACAATAATTGGCCAGCAGGAGGTGACTGCCCTTGACGCTTGAAGACATCTGGATGCATAACGAAACATTTAGACTACTACTCAGTTCTTTATTTACCTCAGTTATGATTTTTCTAATGAGTTCACAATGTTTATTACTAGTTTCGAGACTTTTTCAATACAGCGTGACTTTAAAATAGTTACCGTATTTATCATTTTCAATGAAGTGTAGAACTAAAACAAGCTGAGCATCATATATAGCACAGTGATCTGAAAAGAGTCTTTTTACTACAGAAACTCAGGAGTTGGCTGTTAATTATTCTGTATATCAGTATATCTACAGGACGTATAAACAAGACGTATTTACAAGACGTTTAAACGGCCATATGTCATATGGATGCACTTTGCTAACCATGCTAGTGCTAGTTGGAGCTGGTAACTTTGCTTCTCTTCACCAAACACTCGGCAATTGCCAAACTGATGCAAGACAGGAAATATAAGGAAGCGAGGGTGGAAGGGTGTCATGCAGCAGGGAAAAGGCTGGAGATGGATGGTCAAACTTGGGGAAGGATGTTGTGTCTGCTCATAAGATTTATGCCTTTCACCTATGAACTGTATGCGATGAAGGCATTTATGACTTAAACTTGTTTTACCAAAGTAAATGTTCTTTGGAAAGTACAGTTTAAGACTTGTTTCCTTTACTGTGTAAATTAGCTCTGTGGACAAAGAAAAGACAGACTAGCCTTCATCTAAATTCACAGCGGGGCTAAGAGAAGCTATAAGGAGTAATTGATGTTTGGGGGAGTTGGGATCCAAACAGCCTGTGGGTGAAAATGAAACACGGGGAGGGGATAATGCAAATACGCCCCCAGCGGCTGCAGCTCATTCTTCACCGGTGACACACCTCACATTGTCACCTGAGGAATCCAGGACGGGGGGGGGGGCATGAAGAATGTGTAAGAGGGGGCAGCTGAAGGGGCGAGTGAAGCCAGCGTTGATAATTAACCAGCTTCTTCACTGGGACACTTTTCTCCCTGCTGTGTTTCACAGCGCTGACTATGCCAAGAATTTGGTCAGACCACTATAGACTGTCTAAAGTTGATAATATATATTAATGTGATAAAGAATACCCTGCTTTCACTCCTGAAACTATCCATCATAGCTGCGTCTGACGGGTGGGAGGCGCTGATCTTTAGAACATACGTGTTGATGGATTTGAACCACACAACCCCTGAATCTTAAAGCAGGTATGCAGCTCCTTCGGCTATGAGCTTATTGCAGCTTCTTTCAATGCTAGCTTAAGAAGGATCGCAAAGAAAACTTTACAGAATATGCACATTTGTTGGTGGCTTGTCTCTACCACCCCCAAAAAAGTATTTTCACAACGACTGGTTTGACTTTTAAAAGCTCTTAACACAAAAAACGGGCTTTCAAAAAACAATCTTTGGCCTAAACTGTTCTGCACCATTAAAGGTTAAAGACAGAGTAAATGCAAAGCAAGCATCTCTAAGCCAATCAGTTAGCCAGCCTACATTTTCAATTAATAAAAAACTGATGGCAAGGCTCCATGATTACTTTGTTTCACATGTCAAATCTAATGAGCTGTCAACAAGGTTATCAGCCTTGGAAACAAAGCTGAATTAAAATGATCATTACAGCACACAAAGTCACATTATGACTTTACATTTCTTATAATCTGTCATCCATGAAAACAAATCTAATGGAGCTGCAGCAGCGCTCCCTGAGGCCTGTATTAAAAGCCACAGTGTAGAGCATTAGGTTATAGAATAGCAGAGAAGCAACATTCTGTTTCATACAATTATTACTGTTTATCAAATTCAATGTTTACTGTTTAGTCCCAGACTCGCTCTGCTCAGCGTAAAAAGGTAAGATTGTTACAGAGCAGCACGCTGAAGCCTCTTTGTACTTTTATTATAATTAAACATTTATAATATAAATGGATTGGAATATGTCCAATAACTCAGAGTAATGCAGTCCGGGTATATCCCTTAAAGATTACAGTTAAAGATGTGAAGTCGATTGAACCAAGTGCTAGTCAAGGTCATCCTCAGAAGTTAAGCCAAAGTCTCATTAAGTCTTTCTTGTCTTTCAGGAGGAGGAATATAATTACAATAAAATAATTAAGTCCAAATTAACATTGAATACTGACCCTACTTTTACAGATGTGCTATGTGAATTTGGAGAAGCCAAAAAGAGTTTGCTAGATCTGTACATGTGAGCCCTAACTGAACTGCTGGTGGAGTTAAGAGACAGTGTTTGGAAGCAGAGCAGAGACCCCCCCCCCCATTGTTCCTAATAATCTTTGCAGGCATTTCTTGATATTTTGTAATGGCCATGTGGATGTCATCTCCAGCTAGAGATTTGTTCCTGGGACTCTTCCTGTTTAGGCGTCCCGCTGAAGGAGACACTTGGTATCCTGCAGTGACACTGTTAAGGATGACTGACTCGCTCTGCCATCTATCACCATGAATTCCAGGGTGACAAAATGGAAAGTTTCACTTATTCAGCCCCCCCCCTGTCTAACATGTCTCTGCCCAGACCTGCCTTTATTGCACTGGTTAGACAACAGCACATTGAGTGCAGGCTCTGCTCTCTGTGAACAGACATCAGATGGAAAGACGTCTGCAGGTATGCATTAAGATACCAGCTGTTGTGTTTTACATTGCATATTACATGATGTTAATAAATGCCTACTGAACAGATGGAAAAGCCCCTCGTAAAGGTTTCAGGGTATCAAGGCAGAGTGGAAGCAGTAATGATGCGAGAGACGCCCTCTCTAACCGTCTTTCCACCTCTTGTCAGTTCCTGTGCACAAGCTGATGGAGAAACCAGTCGGAATAACAAAGCCTGGAGGCCGGGGGGGGGCCTCAGACTTGGATCAGATCAGGTCCAAATTGACATCTGGTTTTTCCAACTCTGCACTATGATCGTGAGTGGGAGTGCACACGTGCACGCACAGCAACAGTGGTGCAGGGTGGAGGTTGTGCTACAATTCAGTCTGCTATCTTTGAGGGTGGGAGGATGTGAGTGGGTGTCTGTGGAATCTGATTGTGTGTGAGTGTGGGAGAGACAGAAAGCAGAGAGAGTGAGACTGAAGGACAAAGAAGAGAGGGTAGAGAGATTGAAAAGTGAAGGAAGACACCTAAAGATAACATGAGAACATGGGTTGATTTACAGAGTTTACAGAGATGGCTGTAAAATGATTTTGGATAAAACAAAAGTGTGAAAGTGTGAGAAAGTACGACAGAAATCTATACTTTGATTTATCCACACACACCTGACCTCACACCAGGCACATCTGCCTTTTAAACATGACAATTTAACCTGAGGAAATATACTGAGACTTACATTCAAATAACTCAATTCTTCATGCTTGCCTTGTTTCCTGTTCACAGAGCGAGCGTATATAAGGACAATAAACACGTCTGAGGATGTTATCGTCAACTCCTCAGTTTTAACCCACAGAGGTCACCTCCTTTGTACGCAGATGGGGTCAGACTCTCTCTGTAAAAAGCCTTTGTTTCTAAATGTATAAGACAGAAGCGGCTCGATCTCCAGACATCAACTCAGCAGTTTTAAATCTCTCTTAAGGGATGAGTGTTCGCTCACTTATACTGGGTAACCGGAGACATGAGTGGTAGATCTAAAACTGGGACGACTCCATTTACAGATGCAGCGTTCTAAAATCTTCTTAATATTTTAAAATAAAATCTCAGGTATACGTACACTTAGAGCTGTTTGAATCCTCTTTAAATCTTCATGAGTTATTAAGCTCATTCATTTGAGCATTTAGTCAAACTTATTCTCAGTGAAATAAAAAAAAAACATTCTGTTTCAGAAGAATGTACCAAGAAGAATAAGCAAGAAAAATAGTGCTTTGGCATTATTTATGAGGTAAAATGACTCATGATAAACAACAGTTGTCTCTTACCGCCCATCGATGTTTCTCCACAGTCGGTTTCGTGGGTCGACTTTCTGGCAAGCCACTTCCTTCACCTGAAGCCTGGAGAAATAAATCATACATTTTATATTTAATTTCATGTTCTTTTATTTCCTTGGTGTTCTGAAGTGTTGCTGGAGCTTTTTGACCTCTTTCACTCTTCTTGCACCTTGGAGGTCGGTGACGTTATGCCACATAATCCTACTACCAGGATCATTTTTTTTTAGACACAGGTCTTATTGATTAAAATTAACACTGATTGGTCAAATAAGTGCAGGGCAGTCCAAATGTCGTATATGGAGGTCTCTGTTTAAGTAAATATAAATGTGCTATTATACTGTTTTTCCCCAAAACGATGAGGAAAAGGTGTCAATCCTTGCTTCCCTGTTTATAGTGACCGTCTAGTGTTGGTTATATAGGAATGTTTGTGTGCTATCCTTGTGCCATTTGTGTCAGTTCAAACCTGTTATGGTGATTAGTACATTCAGGTCAGCTTTAAAGGAATTACGCTAATCGGGCATTGTTATTCTTAAAAAAGACATGTTTGTGAACACATTCCTCTTGAAAGCAATCTTTGACTCTCACTGAGTGTTTTCTGGTTAAAGGTGTGTGTTTACACCTCTGTCAACCATTCTCATTAAGTTCAGTGATGGTGCATGTGTTGAATCAGAACATGTCATGAGCATTACTCCCTTCAGACTCAAGGTGTTCTTGGTGCTTCAGTACTTTGAATGTGTCCTCTGGCAGCTGTGTGTGTGAAGTTATCATTTAAAGATAAAAGACGCATCCTGAAATCAGAAACCGCTCATTTCCACTTGGAATGTGATTTTCCCCCGTCTGATCCCAACAACATCTAAAGATTTGATGACAAACAAGTGGTAAAGTCCTGAACCGTACTCTGTCAGTGAGGACCAGGGTTTTGGTGGTCTCAGCGGGCAGAACAGCTGCGATGGCAATGTTTGACTAAATAACAGTCCAAGCTGCTGGTGGGCTGCAGGGAGGCACCTGTGTTTATGTGTGGGTGGTCACAGTCAGTGGTGGAAAGGCTGGTGTCAGACTCTTATCTGCTACAGATTTACTACTGATTATAAGTGATAGAAAATAATTGATAGCAGTCAAGGGGAGTTGATTAGTTGTGTTTTAGGACTGCACTCCCCTACATCAGCACAATGTTTGGCTATTTTTTACAATTTACAGATCAGTTAGTCTTCTGACTCTTAATATTTTCACTCCTAGGTTAATTTCTTTTTGTGCTCTCTTGTTGATCAAGCTTTCTGTTTTTCTACCAGCACTAGCCGTTCACAGTGATAACTAAGGCAGATACGCCATCAAAACGTTTATCAGATGAAATTCGATAAAACCTAAATCAGTTGCTGCTGTGATTCATGTTTTCCTGTTTCACAATGTTTCACAGTTAGTTACGCTTCATGCACACAGAGGACTAAACAGATCTGGGGACTTTTTGAAGAGGAACTATCCACTTGGGAGTTCCCTGAGAACTACACAGCATGGGGACTTTTTCTCTTCCTGCATTCGTATCGTCATGGTGATGGCTGAACCTAAAAGTAGCATTACCTCGGTAACAGTTGCGAGAGAAACTTCACTAAGGCAACACAAAATTTGTCTGTTATTTTTTTTCCATTTTGAATCATTGTAAGAGCTTTTGCCGACTGTCAAATTAATTACATTTAAAAATGGTGATCCCTGGCTCTGGATTGGCTCTTGTTTTTAACCAATCAAGTTACATGGATGCACTCACGGTCCCTCTTGTACTTAGAGAGCACCTACTCTGTAGCAGGAGCTAAAAAGGTTTCTCTAAACTGTTCTGGGAACTCTAATAGTTTGAGTTCCTGCAGTGCAGAACGAACAAAAAAATGGGGAAGAGATCCAACACACCCTAGAACTTTAAAAAAGTTCCTGCGGTGGGAAAGCAGCGATGGTTAAATGTTGCTGAGGACGCAGATCAAACTGTAGAATCCTGTGGACTATTTTTCTTAGCAGACATCATTTTAAAATCATAAAATAATTTCAAAATCAGTATTTGGAGTCAAATTATTTATTTTTTATGTATATAGCTGTGTAAATTGAAATAGAATGTATAGTGAGAGGGTTGATGTAGCAAAGGAAACCTTAATCACCCTGATGAGGTCCAAACATCATACTGTACATCATCCCTCACTTACCCTGCAGAGACACAATGTTACTCGTGTTATCTTATCCTAGACAGTTATCTTTAGAATGTGATTCGTAACGAGTGCCACTCACCCCCATATCCGAGTCATCTTCATCCTCCTCACAGTGTCTCTCAGCAGCGCGGGGGTCTCCCACCACCCTCAGCTCACCGATCACCCCCTGTGTCAAAAAAAAAACACATGGACGTTTTAATGTTGTGACGATACATATAATAAAGTCAGAACAGCAGTTCTTCTCACACACAAGATGTCTTACTTTCAACATCCAAATATGTTTGCTTATCTCTGAACTCTCTGCCAGCTACATTTTAGGGGGAAATTCCCTCTTTCCACAAAATGAGAGAGGCTATTGATGTCTGCAGCTCTCGCCTGTGTCTGTGAAGTACCACCATCTTTGTCCCACATGTACGATCTGATACATGTTTCCCACACAGGATACTCACACTGATAGCTTGAATGCTATCTGAGTGTCTATCAAAGGGCCATTAGCTCCGTATGAGGGGCGCGTTTTCTGCTCTGGAGTTATTTGAAGTCGACTCTTCAGGACACATTTATGTCCTGAGAAAAAAGTCAAATGGACATTTTTAAGAGAGCTTTGAAGATAAATAGAAAAGATCTTTGACATTCAAACCCTGACTCTACAAAGGCTTTAATGGATGTACAGGGTTTTTTGTAACATGTAAGATGTTTAGTCGATGTGTTATGGGCTATTTTCTGACATATTGCTTCAGATCTTCTCGATAAATCTTAGATCCTGAACAAGAAAGGCTAAACTGTCCCTTAAGCATGATTCATACTAAAAAAGGACACACACTTAACAACCCCTTGTAAGGATGGAACGTCCAATTTGAAAAAGATAAAAGATAAAACATAAATAAAAAGATGCCAAAAAAAGCTTTCCAAGTCTTAATTTAATTTGGGAATTAAGTTAACAAGACTTCTCTCGCTCAGGGCCACGCCCACAAAAAGCAAACATCAAACAAAGTCCTGAAAAATGGTTACCGTCTTATTCCAAAAATGCAGTTTATCAAACAACTTTCTGACAAAATATCCGACCATTAGGAAATGCCATGGATGGTTTTGTGTGACAGTGGAGTAACAAAGAGGTTCAAAATAAACAGCTGTCTTCAAACATGGCAATAAAAAAAGATTCAAACAAGAGGTCCAGCTGGGAAAAACACTCAAATCTTGTTTCAAGAGCTGAGGCAGCTTAAAATTGGATATATTTAGCCTAGCAGTGTAAACATTTCTTCTTTGAGATACAGTTTGTGTTATTTATATACTCTTTTAACATGGGACATTTTTCTTGGATCCACTAAAAGGTGAGTAAATCTGCTGATTCCTTTCGGCCTCATTCAGTCGTATTAACAGAACAGGAAGGTCTTTGTGTCCATAAGGCAGCATGTCTTTGCTATACTGGGTAATATTGAAAAGTGGAAACAGCAAAGTAAAGCAGAACTATGAGTGAATTATATTGTTAAGCAATCAAGTACTTAGTATGATTTTTAAATTGACCTTTTTTCACTCTACACTTAAACTGTGCAGGTTGACACAGATTATTACAGCTTTGAACTTTAACTGTTGTCTGATTTGTAGGCCTGCAGTTGCATGTTTTCTCGTGCAGGTAGCCCTGGGTGAACCGCTATAACCCTTTAACTGCTGAGGTCACCAGTTGTTGCGGTCATCTGCTGGGATTTACAGCAGTCAAATGACTGAAGTTAATTACATCCCAACTGTGAGGTCTCCAATTATTTGCAGACCACTTTCAGGAAGATGAGGAGCTGGTTTAGACATTTATGTTGTGGTTTAGAGTAAGCCAATTTGGGCAATTCAATCATAGGAGGGTTATTCAGCCAAGATGTTACACATGACTGGATTTAGAAAATGAAAACACGGAGCTTCACTCAGCAGGAGGCTTGTCTCTGTACAGTTCTGATTAAAGTTGATTTGGTATTCCAAGATGTGCTGTCTTCTGACTTCAACACAAGATTATATCTGACTTACTCAGTGCTCAAGAGTCAATTTCTTATGTCTACCCTTCTCTGTGAACGCTTTTAAGTAGGTAAGGTCTATCTCTACATGAACATGTCATGTGGCTCTCAAATAACTTAACCTTCTGATTTCAGGAGCCTGATTATTGTTCGGCCTAAACAAAGCCGTCTACCCACCAGAAATTTGTCAGGATCAGCGCCTCCAGCTTGTCCAACAAAGACTCCAGCTCCAGTCGCCAGCTCCATCTCATCCGGCGACCTCTCAATGCGCATCACTTGAGGGTCTGTGTCACAGTTGAGGTAGAACATCACCTTGTCGTCTCTTACAGCAATGGCAAAACGAGTCCAGGTATCCCTCATGGAGGGAACACGGAACCTGGCCGCCTCGTAGGACTGCTGTGAGTCGGGTTCTGTGTAGTAAAGGATGACGTTTTGGTAGCCTCCCTGCACTGCTGACAGTTTAACCCCCACGTACATGATCTGCTGTGAGGAATCTGTGACAGAGAAGATGACGCCGCCCCTGTCAGAGGTGGGTTTCAGGTGGAAGATGAGGGCGAAGTCTCTGTAGAAAGGACTCGGCAGGTGGGCGCGGGCCAGCTGGCCCGTGTTGGCGTCAGGACCAAAGACATACCCTGGACTGTTGTCCGGGCCATAGACCTGGGTGATCTCATTTGGAGGAGGGTCTCCAATCAGCTGTAGCAGAGAGACTCCATTCTCCTCTAGAGGGGGAGAGAAAAAAAGATGTGAGTGTAAAGTTTGAAAGGAATCGAGTGATGATTAGAGGGGAGGGCTGCATAACAGGGCTTCATGTTAGACCAGGATCTATTAGGCTGCAGGGACGTGGCTTCAAGTGAATGTGCCTGATGGATGGATGGAAGATCATCTGCTGTAGCTTGTAGAAGAGTATTTTGGAGTCATTTAGTGAACAGCCCTCGCTGTGAGGGACTCTGCACAGGGGACCACCGAACAAACTATTCTATGACTTCTATACATAAACAAAAAGAGGATTAACATGCCCAAAGAAGGCAAAGGATAGGCTTGGATGAGACAAAAAAGGATCACTTCAGCAGATATGGCAAGGGCTGAAATCGAAAGACAAACACAGCTAGCGCCAAACTTCTATCTCCTAACTAATGAGCACACAGGTAGAGTCCAGAAACGGAACATTTAGATATGACCTCAAAGTTGATTCATCTGGCTCATAAAGTATCTAAGTTCAAATAAATGCACATTCACAGGTCAGTGCAGTAAGATTTAAGGGTCGGACACAAAACGTGCAAGAAGATCTCAAAACCAGAGAAAGTCATGCAGAGCTGCAGCCAACAGATGTGTTCTCTGCAAAAAAACTGCAAACAGAAAAATCATATATTTCAAAACTCAAAGTATTTTCGATCATTTGGAGCACTGATTAAACCACTGTCTGATCAATATCGTGAATAATAATATATGTGGGATTAAATTACTAAAGAGTCTAAAGAAATGCAAAAAAAAACTCTTCTGAATTTTGTCACAGCTGTTAAATGTCACTGCTCAAGGGCACGCAGGGACCAACAGCTGGGCCTCCTGCATATCTCTGCTCACCCTCCTGTCACCCTGGGTGACTCTGCCGAGGTCACTGCATAATAATCGGAGTTGTTTAGGAAACACAGAGAACACAAAGGGCGATGTGTATTCTTCCACATACTGGGTGGAAAATTGTTTCATTAGTTCTGAACTTGAGACAAAAGCCTTTTTGATCAAAAAGTCATGTTTCCTCGTGTTAAAAGAAAATCACTGTTTTGGGAGAACGCTTGACGTAGTGTCTGCTGCTTTGAAGAAATGCTTTGCTTTACCACCTGGTGGCTAATGTGCGAGCTCTATTGCTTGGTTCAAAGCCTCCCCGCAGCCCTGAGTGCTGGAGCTCAGTGGGGTTGACACTTGGCTTTGTGTAGAGCTTAAACACACGAGGTGTTCGGCTGAACTCAAGGTCCTGCTTTCTGCTGTACGACCACAAACACGAGTCTGATTGTTTCTGCATGCTGTCCGAGAACTGAAGATGCTTTCATTTGAATCCGAGCTAACAGAGGACCGAGAGTCAAGCAGTAACAGGACAGCAATAAAAAGACTTTCCGGTGTTGATTATGCAGTCCCCTTCTGCAACATTCAGACTGACATGTACAAGCAAGATTCACCAATGAATGCATTGTACTCAATTCCATGTGGATGGACAAATATAAAGATGTTGCAAAAATACCAACAAAAACTGGATAAGCTCTTTCAAATAAGAGCCGCAAACGCCATTGTTGACTCGTTATATAATCAATTAATCTGCACATTACTTTTAACAATTAACTGAAGAATCATTTAGTCAACACAATTTCAAATGCCACAATTTCCTAGAGCCAAAAACAACAATTTAAAAATGAGTTATTATGTCAAACCAACAGATAAAAAAACTGAAAAATCAACCAGAGAATTCATTCAGTATCAAAATATAAGTTTGTCGATCTATCATCATATTTCTTGATTCATCATTGCAGCATTACGTGCATGTTCAATAGAAACAAATACCTTAAAACGCCTGTGTTAGCTAGCTTTAGGCAAGATCAAATCTCTACCGACGACAAAGTTGCTTTTACATGTCAGTTGATAAAACCTTGATAATCCTGAAAAAATGAGTTATTTTCTACCAATGAAATGACCTTAGGTGGACTGTTGGTGTTCGACTGCTGCACGAACGGCATTAAACAACAAACTGTCATTTGCACCAGGCCGACCAGATGTTTACTCTGATAAAGTCAGAATGAGAAACCTCAAGGGTCTCTTCAGCGGGCCTGTGCTCACATGTCTGAACCTGGCTCTCTCTCATGTGCACAATCTCTGCAGGGGTAGGGTTGAAAAAGGCAAAACGTTGTTGTAATTCAGTGGTCAAAATCCATCATGTGGGAAAGCACGCCGTTTTAATTAGTAATCCTCCTGCTACGGGTGCCGACGCTGACATGAGAGATAACTTTGAAGTCGATACCATAACTGAGCAGGGATTGCAACAATTTCCGCACTGACACGTAAAGAGGAAACGTTTGCAGTGACATATGTCTCTTCTGCCTGCAATTCATTTTCTCTATTAGTTTGCATTAAACATGAAATTTGTTTAGTGTGAGCAGCAGCTTGGTCATAAATAATATTTGATTTCCCTGCAGATTAAGCTTCAAAGTCCTTAATAGGTTGGAATGTGTGGCACATCTCTGAGACAAAGCCTGGTTGTCTCTCAGCGTGCAGCATGCCTATAACCATCTCTCTCTCTCTCCTGCATTTCAAACTGATTTTTCTTTTTCATTTGCCAAATGAACAGCAGACATCTTCACATGCGCCCTCACGTTCCAAGCTCCCCAAACCCCTCATTAGAGAAAAATCTCACCTATTAGTCATCCCTCACACCGACCAGATGTGCACTCTTTGGGACTACGTTCAGAATTGACCAAAGAGAAGATACAACCATGTGAACCATACCACCACCAAGCAGAATGTAACAAATTCTCTTTTTACTTCAAATCTAATTAAGTCACAGATGTAACTCTGCCACATGCCACTTAATGGGAAAAAATACTTGGAACTGTAAGAAAAGATAATTCTATTACTAGATCAAAAGGTTTGACCTGCTGTCCACTTGCAAAGGAATGCTTTTGCTGAAAGCCCGCTCAGTGTGTCTGCATTGTAAGCAAAGGGGCAGCCAGTCACTCCTGCTCAGAGATCAAAAATGGTGAGGTATACAAAAGGTTCACCATTAGCATTTTAAGTGCAATTTCAATTCAGGTTTTTTTTCCCAAAAAGCTTTTGTTAACCAATGACAGCTTCAAGGCCAATCTAGCTTAGAAAAGGACTGTTGATGAATGGAGGGGCGCTGATTTTATGGTGCTAGTTTGTCTTGTCAAGAAGGCGGCTTACCGACCAGGAATGAGACTTTTATAAATTCCCAACCATTCCAGAACATGGTACCGCAGTTTGTGATGCCCTGTTGATAAAGCTGTATATACAGGGTGAGAATGTATAAACAGTTTGAGACTGAATATACAACTTTGGGGTTTGTACAGGATTCTGTAATATCCATGGGAAAACATTTGACCATCTGGACGCTCATAGAAAACTTTGTGGTTTCTCTCACCACGCTCCATCACCATTTAAAACATCCCTGGAGCCCTGCTGACATGGCTAATAATCTCTCTCCTCACTCTGCAAAAAAAAAACAAAAACACAAACTGTCAGTGGTTTATGTGGAGGGTCAGGGTTTTCCTCTATAGATGAGAAAATTGATTTACGATTTATTGCAAGGTATTTGGTGGAATCAATTTTAACTGGAAAAAAATGAACAAATGTATTGATGTGCAAAATTTAACCAATTTGTTGGGGGAAAAAATGTTTTTTTTGCACACAGCAGGGCTTTATTAAACTGTATCTTTTGCTTGGAGACAGAGATAATCCTTTTCTATAACCTACAAACAACACAAATAACGTAAAATCTAGAGTGGCAAATACGTGTGTAAATATTCTCTTCTTGCTTTATAGCCGATAGAGTTCTCTGACTAGTTGTGTTCTCTAATGTTTCACTGAACTGGATAAAAAATGAACACAGGATGTTTTGAGTATAAACCCTACAGTATGCATAAATTGCTCTTGTTGTTTTGGCAACAATATTATGTGAGCCTCTTGGCAAATATTGTAGAACCCTTAACCTTACGCAGCAGAATGCTCGAGGGAAGAGAGATAGCAAACCAAAAACCACATCATAAGCCAGGAAGGAGACTTCATGTTGGCTCGCCCTGAAGACTGTAATTCACAAACCGCACAGAGGAAGATGGGCCTACCGCAAGCTGTGCCCTTTCTTCTTTGGAGAAGAAGTAATATGATACAGTTCAAGTTCTCTACCTGTAAGAAACACAGTTTGGGGGGCAACATGCAGTGTGTAAACAAAACCCCTGCCATATTTTTCAGCTTTAAAAGCTGTGTCTTTTGGTAACTATGGTACAAAATAGTAGGACATAAGATATTTGCAGACGCTGGTTAAATGCTTTAAAACAGGTTTAGAAATACTTCACAATTCTTTCCTTCAGACTGTTAAACAACGAGTGTCACAATTGGGCTATTATCCAATATAAAACATCCCTGTGCCCCACTGCTGTGTGTTGTAACACTTTCTCAGCACTTCTTGTTTTGCACTAGTTCATCACTAACCAGGGGGGGCAATCAAGTTCCTGGCAGCAAAGAAGCTGGACCTAATGTGCCCATAATTGGATCCCTCATGAGAGCCAACTCTGAACGATTCCCTGGCAAGCTGCCCGCTGAAGAACTTTGGGCTTTCCCTGTCATGACACACAACACCAATCCCTCCTCAACAGAACCATGTTGGTACAAATCAGTACCAGACCACCAAAAGGGCGAAACAAGCCACAAAACACAGACTAAATATACACAGACAGTCGGATACTGCCAGAGAGGCATTGTTTATGTTCACAGGATAACATCCTTTCATGCTTTGAGACCACCGCAGAGGTGGCTGGGGACCGGATTTATAGCGTAATCACAAATAAATAGCCTATAGTGACAGATAGGTGACATACAGGATATAGTTTTACCATGAAGAACTAACTCAAATAAATTGCAGTTGACCTCCGCACCCTGATATGAATGACTGCTCATCTTTCAAGCAGGAGCCTGGTAACCATGGAAAAACATCATTAAAAGGGCTATTGTGCGCTAACAATCCTGTCTTTGGCCCCCTGTAGTAAAAGGATCACATCTGACAAAGTTTCCATGCACACACTGATATCTCTGCAATCTTCCCACAGTGAGCTCCGTCAAACACACACACACCCCTACTGGCTACAGAAACATATCTCAGTGTGTTTCCACCCATGCCAGTGGACCTTAAATGACATTTCAACTAAAAGACGATTGAGTATATCATGAGACATTTCCTCTGTGACATGTCATAGTTAAATGATGTAGGAGTGGGATGGTAATAAAGCCCAAAACAAAAGGAGAATATGAGCGCCCTTCACCTACACAGCAAGCAAACACAGCTGCAGACGGTGAAAAATGTCTGAAATTCCCCACAGTTCGGGCTCTGATGGGTAGAAAACAGCCCAGGATAAAGTCATTAAGCCAATGAAATGGGATTTAAAGTTAAAAGGGAAAACATTATAGAGTTTTGAATCACATTATCATCAGCTTTTATGTGTGACCTCATTCATTTATAAGTCAAAGCCCACCAACTTATTAGCGACTTTAAAAAGTTACATTACATTACAGTATGAGTTCCTTCAGCGAGACTCTGAGAAAGGCACTGTTAAGAGAAACCATGTGGGGTTCGAATGCTCATAGGCAATGTCTCTCTGACTCCAAAGTTTATCAGTCATCTCCTGGATTTCAGCTCAAAGAGACCTCACAGGGGCAGTGGTAACTCAATAGCAAAGTAGCTTTCTACACCAAGTTGATTAAGCCTCCAGATTTCATCTCAACCATCACTTCAACATGCGTTGTGCATATAGACTTTAGATCTGTGTATTTGACTGAGTTACTCCAGATGGTCTCCACTGCAGTGGCTTTCTGTCTATCCAAGAATGATTTAGAGTGACTGAAGGCACTCAAGTGATACCTTGAGGCTTGTGTAACAGATGATACCCAACACGCACATCTGTGTGGTGAACCAGCCTTTGGAGAATCAATAAAAGTTGTCCTTCAGGTTAAAAAAAATGGCAACAAGATCATACGCCTCTGGTCTGTTTGTACTGTCAAGACTGATCCTTTTTGAGCTTTCTAAGCACAAATATGAAGCAGTTTAAAACTCTTTACACTTAACTATCACTTGTTTCAAACAACTGGAGCGTGAAGCTATTCAGAAAAGCTAACAATACACTTTAGAGTGAAGGCAAACTATAAACCGTCCTTAACCGTTACCCACCAGATGTAGAAAACCACACAACCCCCTTTGCACACCAACACATTAAAAGTTGGAACAATTAAAACAAATACTGATCTGTTCTGGCTCCTCAGGTGCTTCACTTTGTCCTGCAGCCAGAGACATCGTGTCCACTCACATCTGTCAATGAAGCCAGCTGTCAAAAAGATAGCGGCACTGTAAAAAGACACGGCTATGAACTCACAGTGATCTACTGTGTGAGTGGAGCGCAGAGCCGTAGCCCATCAAAAGATTTAAAATTATAGTTGTTTTTTTCTTTCATCACAAGGGGTGCACAGTGTGCTTGGTTAACTGGTTCAGTTTATTTTGTGATTATATTGTGAATAAATATTAATATAAATGAGCATACATCTTATCATTTACTGTGATTTATTTACTTAAATAAATCTTCTGTCTCTAACATTTGATAAAATGATAAATGATGAGACAAGACAGAACATAATTTATGCTAAGGGAAGTTCCAGTCAGATAAATGACCTTTTCTGGTATTTGCCATGCCATATTCATTGAATCTACGTGCAGTTTTTACACAACGTTCAAAGAGTAGAAATCCTTCAATTAATGAATCTACAGACTCTTATGGTACATTATTCCATATCAGATAGAAAAAGCGCCTCCACTGGGAATTCAAATTGTCATCAGTTTACATTCAGAACATGCAAACAGCAACTTCACAGCTGTCAGAAATATTTTACCTGGTACAAACCATTGATGCAAACATAACTGCTTCCCATGCATGACAACTTTATCTGTCCATTACTGGACAGCAAATGCACATCAAGCTGACTGCAAGCCACTCACTGTCAGAAGAGACATGCAATGCTACATGCCAAATTATCTACACTACTTCATGCATAAAATGACTCTGACTTTTATCAGATTTTAGATATAAAATAGATAGAATAAATCCAACTCGGCAAAATCCTTTAAAATTGTTTTTTTTTTCTTCCGATAAGTAGAATTAAACCTGTTTTCTGATGATTCTATAATTTGAAACAGGTAACTCAGAAGTTTAACTGGAAGATGGAGTTTCTTTCAGTTCTCTTTTTGTGTGGCAGGTTATGCTTGAAATTTGAAACTTCTCAACATAATAGATTCTATGTCTGTCAATGCTACGATTGCACTGTAGGATAGAATTTTTCAGAATGAAGAAAACAGCATGTAAGGAAAATATTACTATTGGAATGAATTACCTTGGGAGGAAATACACATCAGTTGGTTTGTTAATGAACCATAATGGACTGTTCTGTGGCTGTGTGTGTGTGTGTGTGTGTGTGTGTGTGTGTGTGTGTGTGTGTGTGTGTGTGTGTGTGTGTGTGTGTGTGTGTGTGTGTGTGATGACCTTCAAAGCTTAAGTCACATGCCAACCCAAGGACAAGGGTAACACAAACATGCAACACCTTGAGGAGAGTTTGGTACCATGCGTGTTAGAACAACAGGATATACAATCTTGACACATGCTTGTTTAATAAAAAAATAAAAATAAAATAAAACATTTCTGTGCATGGGAACAAAGACCTTGTTAATTTCTTCTTTCAGGGCTGACAGGGATGAATGTCAGTTTTCTTTGGTGGGTATTTGGTAGTGGGTGGAGACACCAGACAGACTTGGGAGTAGGGACATTGAAAACTGGTTCAAAGTGTATCCCAGATCTTGGATTCATTTGAACCAGTGATTACCTTTCTGGTTACTAACTGACAAGCACTGATACCCATCATCCTCCTCGTCTGGTAAAGTGTGACACTCCACAGGGAGGCGTCCCTCATCCAGGAGTGTCCAGCAACTATCCCGCAAGGCTTCGCAGAAACTCCGGCAGGGCAAAACCGGTACTGGGACTGAGGGACCACACGTTGGTACCAAGAGAAGGCAGAAAAACCACTCCAAACTATGGTGGCAACTTGACCTCAACAGCCATGCCCATTCCTCTAAGAGAACCTGAACTTCCTCCACACTACTCTGGTTGAGATAATTGGGCATAATAAATCTTTCTCCTACCATGGAAGAGCAGAAAGGAAGAGCAGTATCTAGCAACAAGCATGTGGGGGATTCTACAGCTAGAGCTGATTTGGCGTCTTCTGGGTGGCTTTCAGCTGTCGGGCTAATAAAGGTTGCCTGGCTAGGTCCTTGGTCACTTGATTTTTCCGATGTATAAAATATATGACCAGTTGGGTTGGTTACTACTGTCTGGCTAGTTTCAAATTCTTGACTTGGCACTTGAGTTTGGACAGGTGGACGCTGAGAAACTTCCAATAATTGGTTGGTCTTAGCCATCTGGGTAGTGCTGACAGAATTGGTACTGAAATTTGGAGTTTGTGAATCTTCTGAAGAAGGGAAATTAGAGTTCCAACTCGAGGTACTGTTTGATTGTAGACTAACTTTACTTTTATTTTGGGGTTCAATGGAATAATCAAGATTTTGCTCTGATTTTGGACTACCAGCATCATCAGCTGTCCTGTTAAGAACAACAATAGTACTATTTTGAATTAGATCATTTAATTCGGACACTGTTAAAACTTCACTATCTAACCCACCAAAATCAGTTGGCATTACTGTTCCTTGTTGGCTTTCCCCTGAAAACACCTGGGATTCAAAGCCAGATGCCCCACTAGTGTCAGCTTCTGACACAAGTGTGCTGTTAAGAAGAATCACAGCACTATTTTGAATTTTGAATTCTTGATCCTTTGAATCAGGCACTGTAAAGGCCTCAGCATCTAACCCACTGAAATAAGTTGGCATTAATGTTCCTTGTTGGCTTTCCCCTGAAAACAACCCGGATTCAAAACCAGATCCTCTGCTATTGTCTGCTTCTGACACAAGCACCCCATTAAGAGTCATTTCAACATTATTTTGAAATTTTAAGTCATGATCATTTGAATCAGGCACTGTAAAGGCTTCAGTATCTAACCCCCTTAATTCAGTTGGCCTTACTGTTCCTTGTTGACTTTCCCCTGAAAACCCCTGGGATTCAAAGCCTGATCCCCCGCTAGGGTCTGCTTCTGTTGGAAATCCAGATTGAGACTCCAATTTTGAGCCAGACCAAAGGTGTGGTCCAATGTCAGGGGCAAATCCAGACTCAAGCCCAGATCCAAGTCCTGAAACATTTTCTATAAAACTTAATTGACCAGATCCTCCAGAACCCACACCCCTTAGTGAAGATTTGCCATTACCCGATTCACGAATTCGAGATGAAATCCTTGCTGTTCCTATTTCTGATGCACGATCATGTTCCTGTTGTGTTGTAGGTTTTAGAGAGGTCAGTCGAGGAGCCTCAGTGGTCTCATCCCAGGTATGCACAACCTTTGCAACCTCATGTCCCTCATCAATGATCTCGGCTCCAACTCTTTCAATATTCTCTGATGGTGGTTCTCCACTACCTGCTGAACTGCCAGACCCCTCCTGTTCCACTGTTGGGGGCACTGGGGTAGTACCGGTCCATGCCCAGAACCAAGCACCAGACTGGACAGGCCAAAGGGCCAACAAAAACAAAACTCCAAAATTGGTCCTCATCTTAGTTACAAAGTCTTAACCACGTCCACCAGCTTGATTAGGCTCCCAGAGATGACATGTCCATACAGCCCCCTCACACACACTCTGCCCAGCTCTGTCTCCACACACACTCCACCAGGCAGAGAGGAAAAGTGAAGAGGAGTGCCCCATTCAAAAGAGTAAAGGGGGATAGCAGGAGGAGGTGCTGTCTTGGCAATATTTCCTCTCCTGACTCCTCCTTCCCCCTCCTTCTCCTTTTGTCACAGCACTGAAAAGCGATCTCTCCTGCTGACTTATACCTTAGAATTACCGTAAAGCAGCCTTTCCTTTCAGTGTACAATACTGATGCCTTCAGTGTTTTAAAGAGAGGGGCAATTTGTTCCTCTTGACTTGTTTGCTTTGTTTAAACATGATAATAGGACAACTACAGATCTAGATCTTTGAAAGACTGCAAAGTGAATTCACAACAGTAGAAAAAGTTGTGTCCATTCCATTTGTTGATTTAGATTTAAATATAAGGAGCTCTAATGGATTCAATAAGTCTCTTCCCACTATGCGCAATGCAACAGATTATCAAGCAAAGTTGCTGTTTCAATGAGTAAAAATAAATGTAATCCAACATGCATATTGTATCTCATTACAATAATTGTTTGATTTAAAAGGACGTAGGTAGAATTATTCAAAACACCACAATTCAAGTACACTGTTAACTCTACAAATACAATCTTCTGAAGCCACAGAAAGTTTGATCAATTTGTCTTTACATTTAAGTCAAGATAAATCTATTCCAGGCTGATCATCATGCAACTTTGTCAACTTATATCCTTCCTCTAGTTAAGATGCACCACCAACCAAATGTCCCTGCATACATTGTCCTTGCTCTACATGGTGTCATCTATTGTTCAAACCAGTTTAGACCCCTTTTCTTCCACTCTCTGTGGTTACACAGTAACTCAGGCCTCACTTTCTTGTTCAGACTAGTTTCTCATTCTGCCTATGTGATCAGTTGACAGAGACCCTTGACGTCTGCTAACAGGAGCTTAGGAACAGGAGGTTTGTGCAAGTGTTTCTCCAACACAACCAGGGTTTAAAACAAAGGCGGGTATGTCGTGCATGTACCCTCAGTTGTTGATAGAAATGAACTCTGGTCATTTGTGTACTGCATGGCCTAGTCCTTGTAAAAGTTCCAGACGCTTATGTTAGGATATAGATGTCTTAACATGAGCTTGACAACTTTATCCTGTGGCTCTCTGTCACTGCCCGGGGTCAGTGTTGATCCAAATGACCCCTGTCTGCAAGATGAAGTTTGTTTGGTCTAACAACTATAGAAGGGGGGTCAAAAATGTTATAAAAAAAGGTCAAAGAGAAGAAAAACTTCACAAAATGGTATCTCTTAATGAACTACAGCCTTCATCAACAGGCGACAACGTAAATAATACAACATGGTTGTCTTTATAATCACATGTAAAGAAAATCATTTTTGCACCGTTTGCTTTGATGAATGAAAAATGTTGAGTCATATGGAAAGCAGCTGCTTTTTGGAAAACATGAGCAAAGACTTGTGACTGCCTTAGTTAGTGTCTGACTTATTTTTTCAGAACATCTATCCCTTTAAGGAGCAAACAAAACAAAGAAAGTCTAACTGTCATCAAAACAAATATTCATGAATAACTCTATTCAAGACTGGAAGATCTAAGACTTATTTTTATCTCAGGTTTAGAGAAACATCTTGAGGGGCATGTTGTGGAGTGATCGCAGGGTAAATTAGATAAGATGGCCCTCTGAGCATGAAGTGAACCCTCTGTACCGTGACATTCACTTTTACTACTTTAAAACAACTGTCAGAAATGTACTGTTCAGTTAAAAGGAGTTGCGTGACAAAAAAAAATGAAGATTCACAACTTTTATTGGAAAATTAACTTGTTTTCCGAGGTGAATTCAAACAACGTTTTGCAAGAAAGTTACCAACACAAGATGTTTCAGGAGACACGAGAAGTCGACTGCTCATTTACTGTTGCTGTGGTCGGTCAAACTCAGTGATCAAAGTTATCTGTGGTTAGTCTTTACACAGAAAAAAACAATGTTTAAAGTCAAGTCTTGGATAATAAACCCAGAGAGTAATAAACTCTGAAGTGCTGTAGGTAATGATTAGCCTGTAACATAGCTCTGCCCTCTAATGGAACCTAATGCATTGTATTGATTCCGGTAAACTATATATTTAATGCCCTCTTCTAAATGTCAGGGTTTGTGTGGTCTATAGTGCTTAATTTGTTTTCAATGTACATTCTTGTATTCCTGTTAATGTTTTTTTTGTGGACCCCAGGAATCAAAGCTGAGCTCTAGGGTACAGCTAATGGAGATCCTACCAAATAAACAAATGTGTGGGGATAAAAAACAGAATGAACACCAACAGACACATATGTGATTACTGAAACTTAATGTGAAACTTCCCATTGAGGCTGTAAAAATGGTTGATTTAGCAGTGATAAACCATTTAAGTTTGCATCTCCTGTGGACAGTTTTTCTGTCCTTTAGCGAGACAACAAGCTAAATTGGAAAACCCAAAGAAGGAAGAAATTGTCTTCACGTGAATGTGTCTCCACGAGCCTCCAAACAGGGTGTAATTATCCCGAAGATGACGATATATTCACCTGAAGGTATTTCTGTGTGACAGGGGAAGGGATTATCCAGATCTGGGGAATTTTCATAAACATTTGAAAAGTGGGAGATTTGTTGGAAAGTGGGGGGGAAAAAAGACTTGGGTGGTAAAGAGCATATACCCTGTCACATGTGAACGAGGAAACTGTCTGCTTTTTTTAGGGGATAACTTGACAAGGAAAAGACTAAATTGCACTTAATTATGGAAGTACAATGGTACGTTTGGAGAGACAGTTTTTTTTTAGCATAGGAAATCTGCATCAATCAAACTATCAACATCCCCTGAGCTTTGTCAGAACTCTGTGTCAGTCTTTTCAACATCCCCTTTAAGTCTGCTGCTGCCCGCACAGAGTCGAGGCTGAAAGCATCATAATGACAACATGGCAAGATTTCCTGTGTTCAAAGTGGCATTTGTCGTCGGAACGGGGTAATTACAGTAAGAAGAGTTGAAACGTTTTCACTGGGCAGAGAAGACACAGAAGAACAATGACAAGCATCCACTCGAACATAAAAAAAGAATCAAAACACAACAGATTAGAACTCATTTGGATATGTGTTTCTTCAATAAAATTAAGGGCAAAACAAGATTCTAAGAGGGATTAAAAATTAGATTTTGTTGTAGTTTGACAGAGAACCTAATCTGGGCACATGTCACTGAAAAGGATCGTCAAATGTCGAAAAATGCAGGATAATAAAATCTTTGAAACTAGTGTGAATAAAACCCTGGGTAAAGATTTTAACGAGAACATCTCATGTGAGTTATAGTTATTGGTAAATCATCCAAGATTCTTCTGTTTTGTGTGCCAAATAGAAAGAATCTGCAGTTAAACACGTTTTATACGGGTTCCAAAACTTCCCCTTCACCCAGTTCACACACAGGTCACCTGCTGTTCAAGTCCTGCTAGAGGACCATATTCTCAGCAGGGGTCTCCAGTAATCTAAAGGGCCCGCTAACCCACATCATGAAAAACATCATGTCAACTTTTTTGGCATGGCAAGTGGTGTTCTGTTCTCTACAGTCATATTTGGGTGGTGGCAGAAAATGTGGCAATAGAAAAGTAATTAATAAAACTAATGTATCCCACATGGCCGTGGTTACAACATGGTTTTAATGACTTTGGTGTAGTGACTCTGCAAACTGAGAAACTGAAGGAAATCAAATTACACTAAATCCAGAAGTCTCTCAAGAAGAGTGAGATGAGTAAAATTCAGATTCATTTAGAAAAACACAAAAAGATATAATTTTTAGGAATCCGGGAAATCTATTTCAGAGTACATTTTGACTTGCTTGATTTCGCCCAAAATGCTGTAAATGAATCCTCCTATAGGAAAAAGAAAAAACATTTAAAAAAAAAAAAACCATTGCAGATTTTGCAATGGTCGGTATAAGTAATCAAGTTTCCTCATGTCTGCGACCTGTGAAATCTTTGGATGTCTGAGCAGGGGATGAATTGAAATTCCAGGCCTCCCCAGTGTCTGTCCTTCACAATACACGGACAAAAGGGTGAAACTTAAGACCAGGAATGACTCCGAGGGCTAAGACCATCAATGAGAGGATGAATGATCAACTAATTACAACACCAACAAAACCTGCTGAACATAATCCACCAGGGGGCAAAGGCGTCCAATTATCTGTCACCGCACAGCGTTGTCTTATGCTGCCCTCACTGTCATACAGATATTGGATTTCATAAGCAGAGTGCCAATTTCTTTGGTGCTAAATATAGCTTTAGTGAATAATTTAAGAGTACGAGGACATGTGTATGGAACTTAATCTCCTGTGCAATGGATGGAAAGTTAGTAAAGAGGGAAAGTATATATTTCTATGTAAACTTGAACTATCACTAAAGTGCTTAAAACATCTAAACGATGCATCTATTGAACGCTTCACAGCTAATAAGGGCTCTATTGCAATGCCACATTTTACGTTAGAAGTCATTTTGACCTTCCTGCACCTTCACTGATGTTGTTTCAGCAAGTTGGGGTCGTCGACCTCTCGCTGTGAGTCTTCGTGGTTATACGAGCATTAAGCTCTCAGGGATGGGAGTTTTAAATCACACACACACACACACACACACACACACACACACACACACACACACACACACACACACACACACACACACACACACACACACACACACACACACACACACACACACACACACACGCACACACACACACACACACACACACAGATTAGGATATCCACAGACACTCAGGAGCGACCCCACATATGTGCAGACACACACGCACACACGCACACACACACACACACACACACACACACACACACACACACACACACACACACACACATTCAAACAGACTTGGGCCTTAGCCGCACAGCATGTCACAGCTGAACAGCAGAGTAAACAGTGAGAGGCAAACGGACACAACTCTAGAGAACATATGGCTGAAACACACACACACACACACACACACACACACACACACACACACACACACACACACACACACACACACTTACCCACAG